GAAGAAACTGCCGTTCCTAGTTTAATAACTTCTTAATCCACTGTATGTAGATCACAGGATAGCTTGCCTTGCTCTACAAGTGCACCCTGTTTTAACATAAAAAAAAAATCATGTTAATTACAGTATTATGTTGGAATGTAGCTAAATAAATGCAATATAAATCTATATGGATTCTCCTTTTTCTTCTAAAAACTTCATTGGACCTCTCAGGAATCTTACAGTCACGGGAAAAAGAAAGTACACCTTCCCTCACTTCTACGGTTTTACAGATCAGAAGAAAAAAAAAAAAATTCTGGTCCTTACCAGGTTATAAAATAATGTAAATCTAAACTCAGGTGTAAAACAATACAAGATATTCCACCAAGTCATTATAACAAAAATGAAGCCAAAATGGAGAAGCCATGCGTGAAAATCGGAGTACACCCCATGATACAATAGCTTGAAGAACCATCTTTAGCAGCAATACCTTGAAGTAATCATTTTTTCGGTATGACGTTATCAGTCTCTCACATTACTGTGGAGGAATTTTGGCTGACTCTTCTTTACAATGTTGCTTCATTTCATTGAGGTTTGCAGGCATTTGTTTATGCACAGCTCTCTCAATGTCCCACCACAGTATTTCAATCGGGTTATGGTCTGGTTTGGCTATTGTAGCACCTCGATCCTTTCTTTTTCGGCCATTCTATTGTAGATTTGCTGATGTGCTTGAGCTCGTCATCTTGTTGCAAGACCCAATTTCAGCCAAGCTTTAGGTGCTAGATGGCCTCACATTTGAGTTCATGGTCAAGTCAATAACTACAAGACGCTCAGGTCCTATGGCTGCAAAACAAGCCGAAATCATCACCCCTGCACCACCATGTCTGACTGCTGGTATGAGGTGTTTGTGCTGATATGCTACGCTTGGTTTTTGCCAAATGTGACAGTGCATTATAACCCCACACTTCCGCTTTGGTCTAGTCTGTCCAAAGGGCATCATTCCAGAACTCTTGTAGTTTGTTCAGATGCAACTTTGCAAACTAAAGCCACGCTGCCACGTTCTTTTTAGAGAGAAGATGCTTTCTCCTGACAACCCTTCCACACAAGCCATTCTCTCATTGTACCGTCATGAACTTTAACATCTAAGATGCAAACTGAGGCCTGTAGAGTCTGAGATGTAGCTCCTAGGGTATATCTTTGCAGTTTCTCTGAGCACTGCACGGTCTAACCTAGAGGTGAATTTGCTGGGACGTCCACTCCTGGGAAGATTAACAACGTTCTTGAACGTCTTCCACTTGTGACATTCTCACTGTAGAATGATGGACTTCAAATTGTTTTGAAATGGCCCTATAACCCTTCCCAGATCGATGGGCAGCAGCAATTGCTTTTCTAAGATCATGGTTCATTGTCTTTCCTCCTTGGCATTGTGTTAACACACACCTGAAGACCAGGACACTGCCAAATCTTCTGCTTTCATAGAGGTGGTCAAACACGCTGACGATCAATTAATCAGGGGCATTTGATTAGTAACACCTGGCTATTTACCCTCTGAATTCCTATGTAAGCAGTACGGGTGTATTTGATTTCACACGCTGCTTCTGCAGTTTGTCTTAGTTTTTGTTACATAAATAATGACACAGTGTAACATGTCATGCGTTGTTCATCTGAGGTTGTATTTACCCAATTATAAAACATGCCAAGGACCAGATGTCCTGATAGATAAAACCACAGAACTGACAGTGTACTCTCTTTTTCACAACTGTATTTCATGTATGCTTCATTCAAATCAGTGATATATTTAGACAAATATATTAATCCGTGTTTTAGTCTCAGTATTTTGCTTGTAGCAAGTTTGCCCTTTCCGTTTTCCCCTTTGTAAAGAGTTTCCTAAAACTCTTGAGATCGCAGGATGTGGCGAGAGGTTTTATAAACTCTCTCCCCATGGCACTGTTGCTGTTTCAGCCAAGGAAAAATATTCTGCCTGCTAATCTGTACACAAAGTGTTAGGAATGTCCTCTATGTTTGTTTTGGAGAGAATCCCACCATGTTGTTCACCCCGTGCTCCTTTAATTGTACCCCAGCAGACACATTATGTGTAATTGGACAGAAATATTTATTTACTTGTTACAATGAAGATCTAAAGACATGCCGAACAATGATTTCCCATCGCTCCGGTCTCCCTGCAGCAACCCTCAATTGCTTTATTTCAATAACAGGGAGGACAGGACTAGGGTACATTGGCTAATCAAACAAGAATATGAATCTCCAGCAGCCTGTAATCCAGCTGCCTTATATGGCATAATGTTTGGGGAAGTAAAACAATCCATTAAGTTTTTCCTCTAAACACCAGAGCCAGTTGCCACAGCAAAGAGAGGTCATGCTACATGTGATATCGTGCAAACCACATGAGTCAAAGAGCTTTCCAGTGCCCGTTCACACTGTGGGGGAGACTTAAAGACAATTAACACTTTTGGCCATTATCGCTAAGATTAGTCAGACCTTTGTAAAAGTGGCCTATTCTTTTCAACGTAAAAGTGATTAGTACTTGACCTACCATTTTGATTATTATTGAAAATTAACAAATATAAGCAAAGGAGCTACGCAGTGGAGTTACAATAGAAGTGAGTGAAGCGTTTGCCTTCCTTTGTTGCTAGGTTACGAAACACAAAGAGTTCTATAAGAAAATGTGCCTGTGTGACTCAGCAGCCGATCTCCACCCCCAGATGTCATCATGCCTCTGTGCTGCTCCGATCTGACGCTACCTTCATCGCAGTCGTGTAACGTGGCATTTCAAAACAGCTGGAAAAGTCATTCTACCATTCCCCAGAGGAAAGCTAAAAATAACAGCTGCTATCTGCATAGAAAATTATCTTACAAAAACGGCAAATGAATGAAGACGGATGCGTTTCCACAGTTTAACCACTCAGGCTTGGAATCCCAGAGTACGTCATTGTTTGATTGAAACCATGTGTCTCATTTCCACTTTAAAGAAAATAATAATTAAAACCAGGAATAACATGGGAAAAACTCATCTTATGAGTTGGCGTGAGGCGGGGCCTACTTAAAACGCTGCACAGAATTTGGCTGCAACTATAAATAGTATATAGATTTTATCCAATCTAGTCAAACATTAGTGCTGTGCAACCAGTTTAAAAAAGGGAGAGAGAAAAAAAAAAAAAAGTCCACACAATAATGCTGAATCAACTAGGCACTTTGCGAATGATCATTTCTACTGCATTCAGTTGCAACGTTTTGCTCACATAGTGAAAACTGTATGGTCAATATATACTAGATTATATAGCAACTAAGTCAGTACTGCTTCTGCTACTGTACGAGTGCATGCTGCAGGCTTCACAGCCAGGACTGTCATTAGGCCTATTTTAGGTGGGCTTCAGCCCCCCCTCCAAATAAATGTGTATTTATTGGCTTAAGTCATGAATAGCTTGCCACTAGCCCCCCCTAGTATAGACTCAGCTCCCCTCTCCATTTATCTCTAACTACGACCCTGTTCACAGGAAAAGCATGATCCTTCAAGTACCAACATTCCTGGGACCATATTTAATATGGGTCAAAAATGTAACCACTCCATATTTATTTTTCTGTGACTGGCATCTTGCCAGGACGCTCCCTGTCTTGTGGCCCCTGCTTCCCTGGATACATTGTATACTCAGTCTGACCCAGTACTGTGGGGTTCTCCCCAATTCCGGTCCTGGAGGGGCAGTCTGTGACGCAGTTTGCAGATTTCCCTGCTCAGCCACCTACTAAACCTGGCAATTAGCTGGTGAGCTGACTAAGGTGCGTCTGAGCAGGGAAATCTACAAACTGTGAAGCAGACTGGCCCTCCAGGACTGGATCTGGGGAACCCTGCTGTGCTGAATAAGAAAGATGGAGAGAGTTGGGAATGAGACACAAAACAGAAAATGTGAAAATATTTTTTTTCATAATAATAAACAAAAGCTAACAGAAACTGTTACTGGAAGTGTGGGAAAAAATCCTTCAAGTTCCATTCAATTTTAAAAGACAACGGTGTGTTTTTTTTTTTGTTGTAAAAAGCAACTAATGCTGCTTTAGACGATATGACTGCTGCCTGCACATAACTAGACATGTTCCGACGCAGCCACAGGGTGTGAGGTGTGACACACCAGGAACAACATAATCCAGTGATGCTTTTACGGCTCTCGAAAGCAGCTCTGCCACTCTATTGTGTTCATAATTAACTCAGACTAGAGTTACACATGTGCAAGTGCCTTTTTCCACAATGCTGCATTCTTGAGTCATTTTCTGTTTTGTTCCAGTAACGACTACAATTCTTTGGCCAGTCTGAGCTGCTGGAACAAACGGGAAGAGCAAGAGGAAAAACGGCACAACCAAGTTAAAGAAACTCCATCGTGATCAAGTGATTCTCAAGCTTTCAGTTTAAAAAATGGCCTAAGTTTCCATATTTTTTGTTTTTTTGAGACATAGATCCAGCGGACAGAGAAAATTGATTGTCTTGTTCATCAAATAATGGTTGGATCAGGACAGAACTTTGTCTACACCACAGCCAATGTTCTCCCTTGCTAAGCAGCAGGGTAAGAATCCACTGTTGTCACCCATCCATACTTAGACATATCAAAATTCAACTCGCCTATGGCATTTGCGCTCTCATCCAGCATGTGTTCTCTGTTCCAGTTTCTCATTGGCTTCTTCACACGTTTAGAAACATGTGCGAACAATTTTGAGTCTTTGCATTTGGATGACAGCTACACTATGCCGGTTGTGTTTACCTTCCACAGCCCATGTTTACCATTTTGCATTACACTGCAAAACATGCCATATAAATTTGTGACTGACAATGTGTTCAAACTTCAGCAAAAAAAAAAAAAAAAAGTGTGACTGAACTGATAAACCGATTCAGCCCACTGAGAATTTGATGCAGGGAAAGGGGTTTAGCGTTTTAGCAATTCGGAAAAACTGCAGTCCTTTCCCTCAAGTTTTCCACTCGAGGAACTGTACAAGGGTAGAACACTTCAAAAGATTCATACCTGTCTTTCCCAATTGTCTCGTAGTCTTTCACAATCACATCTACAAAGGATGATGAATCTAGTGCTGAACCTTTCAAGTCAAATTCAAGAGCCTACAAAAGGAAAGGTTGTGTCATTTTTCAGTGCCTTTACTCACATGACTGAGTAAAGACCAACAAAAATACTCCTTGAATAATTAGCTTATTTTTCAGAAGGCAATTAAACACAACATAGTTCATGCTGCAGAATTGTGTGCTTAACCTCTGCAAAAAAAGAGACTTTACATTTATCAGCCTTAGATACAATAAAATGTATATTTAATTGTGCATCCACTGTGAATATTTGACACACATATGACGTCAGTTCAGTCGAAAAGTCAATTTACCCAAATAAGTCAAAATTTTTTATATTCTGCTGGTATATTAATTAGACTTACTTCATTCCAGACTGGATTTACTTCACTGTTGATAGATTTGGTCTTTTTCTTCTCATCTAAAAATAAAAAGGCAGTTTTGATATAGGAATATTTATGTGCTCCAAGACATGCTGCACACTTTTTATGCAGCGACAAGTATTTACATTATCATTTTGTATGGATCTGGCCTATCAAATGCAAGATTATATCATTCAGGAACTGGCAATGACTAATGATGCCATGACATCGTGCCAAGCATGTAGGCTGAGTTCCCAATTCCCATTTCCTGACTACACACCCAAAGCGGCACAGTGTAAACTAACCAGAGCCAACACCTAGATTCTAGACAGGGGATACAGTGGAAACCGAGGCAAGAACATGTGCATTCCCCATTAATTATACATTTTGGAAGTATATATGCGTTAAAACGATCTTTAACGTCCAGTAATTAATAAAATGCTATTGTGCATTATTGGCATACTTCACTTATAACGATTCTGCTTAATATAACCTAAAGAAATCATTGTAAGCAGTACTCATATACTTTGATATATCTTAATTGTTACATCGTTTTATTTAATGTCCCTACCCTAAATCAACATTGTTTTAAACCAAAAATCCTGGATGAATGATAAAACACTGTATAAAACACCGTTCGCCATGCAATCGATTGGAGTCATCGTATTCAGAAAAAAAAAAAGTCTGAAGATTACCCCCATCATATTCTACAAATAATTCTTTTTTTAAAATAGTAACTTTTAAGAGTAAAGTCTACAACACCTCCCCGAGTGATACTGTTACTCGTAACGTATTTTTCCAAGAAACGCTCAAAATATGTAGAAAACCACAAAGTTAAAACCGCACTTATTCAAGCGACAAAAAAAAAAACAACAGACACATTCATCACTAACTATTAGTTTTAATTTAACGGTTAGTCGACAGAAGTTGTACACCGAGTAGATCCTAAATATATTAAGTGTATTCGGAGAGAAAGAGGCATTTATAAAGAAAGATTCGATCATTCAAACCCACCTCTAAAAACAATTGTAGTTATGGGGTCCGGATTTCCAAGTTTCTTTTTTGGAAGCCCTTTAGCAGACTCCACAATAACGCGTAACATTGTGGAATGGAACTTCTGACAAGTTTTATGGTCTAACGGAGGATCTGGCAGTAGGGTTGCAGGACGTGTCCCCGCAGCCACATCATTTGCAGCCAGAGATGGTGAGTAATAAGAAACACTGCTGTTATGTACCTCATGGAAATGAGACGTGGGTGGGGATTTCTGTAGGATTGGCTATTGTCCGTACCTGTACCAGTGTGCGCTTATTACCCTCAATAAAAAGAAAAGATATTCAGATATTGTGACTATGGAAAAACAATATCCTTTTGGTTTTTAACTTGCAGTGGAGAATGTTAAACTCCGCATAAGCTGAATTAATATTTCGTTTTAAGTTGGCGAATGCTTCTCTTAACCATCCTGGATACCACAATCTACACCACCTTTGTTAAATTCATTGGCAGAATTCTTACTTTTGTAATGAAGGCTTTGAAGGCACTCTAGCCCCACCTAGCGGTATGCTGGTGAACAAGGAAACCCAGACGTTGAACTTAATTCCAGTGTTTCCCTCGATCACTTGCACACTAACTGGACCCAAAACTATGACGCAGTCTATCGAAAGACAGAACCTCTTCCCAAAACTATAAACACTATTCACCTGTTTTCATGCATGATTCAGAATCGTTGAAATTTTCTGCGAGAAACTCTATACACAAATCCTTTCATATATCACCGGCTGCACCTTGTGCTCATTTAGAAAGCACTGCCATTAGATATTATTAATTCAAATAATCACAGCTCGAACCCAGTTAGCACACAATTCCCCAGGTGGAAACATCAAGAATCAAATTTGCTCACATACCAGTCGGATAAGGAAAAGAGGCCATGGGTCAGTTCATTTAGCTACGTTGAAGCTAAGCTGGGTGTAATACTTCGGCGCTGCTGAATTGCCTGATTATCTGTATCAGGTGTGTTAAATTAGGGCTGCACCTAAGCTCTGTGGAGTGGTAGCTCTCCAGGAGCAGGGCTGAGCGGCTATGACCCAGACCGGAGATGGGATGCTGTAGCAAAATAAATGTAATTTCATTCTTTATGTAATATTATGCTATTAATTCTTTATTAATTAACCACAAAGCAAGTATTAGTTACATAGTGATGTCGTGTTGATGATTAATGAATCTTGGTACGTCTTTTATCACATGTAATTACTATAATTGTTACTATAGCTGTTCAATGCATCTTTGTGAACTTCTGAAGGAACACGTAATGAATAACAAGTGAAATACTGATCTCATGCTGGTTAATCACTAATGAATTGTGATGTATCATCTAAGTTACTAGTACTACTAAGTTACTACTATGTGTTTGTGCTACCATAAAATCTCTCTGGTCAATTGGAGACTGCTGTCATTCAAACCAGCATAAATATGTAAATATGGGAAACAGTCATGCCACATGTGTGAAAGCACTCAAACAGGTTAATTGAACACTAATGAATCAGTGGCCTGTACTACCAAGCGGTGCTACTGGCTTATCGAGGGAACTTGTCGGATTTAAGGTACCACAGTTTAAATGGACTTCATATTCGTTCACTTACATTTTGCCCAGACTACCTTAAATCCGACAAGTTACCCCGATAAGCCAGTAACCCCGCTTCATAGTACAGACCACAGGTAAGCTCGTCTGTTCAGTTAGAGGAAGATTGAGAGAAAGGGGATGATGAAAAGAACAAAGGGGAAGAAGATAAAGATGTTTAATTTCTGATGAAATCAGGTATTATTGTGGGCCATGTTATCAGCCATGGGTTGATGACGAGGGAAGCTGGAGAGAGTGCCACATATTGTACCTAATCAGATCATGTCACCAGTTACAGAACAGCTGACCTTAACCCAGAATGATGTCCTCCACCACCGTGCACCCCCATGGGTCCATATACTGCCAATATCATCACATTTCCAGACACATCACAAAATATAGTGGTGAGAGAAGGCCCAGAAGAGCTGAGGAGTATTACCATAACATTTTTTCACAAAGTAACACTGAAAAGGCACTAATAAAGACAGTGGTGTTTTCAATTGAACCTATCAGTGTGTTGTTAGTTCTTTGAAAGGTATATACATATGGTGCATGTGTATATAATTTTGGTACAAAAATACCATTTTGGGACTGAGTTACATAGTTCTGATTGCAAGAGTTGTGAGATTGTTTTGGTCTTTTTGAAGTGTTAGTGAGGTCTGTGTGTAGAGATTTGAGAAAATTAGCCTAGTTTTAAAAAATGTGTAAACAATTGTTAAAAACAATTAACAGCTTAACATAAATATTCCAGATGCCATGTAGCTCCTGAAGCAGCACACGCGATACTTAAACCCAGAGCTATGGAATTCTTCCATCATAATCATCTTTCAAAAAAAAAAAAACACATGGCATAGAAGATCATATCGCTTTGCCTTCAGTCTGCACGTTGCATGCGGAGGTTGTATACGCCCGAGGTTCGCCAATCAGAGCGCCCTCCACGCGGACGTATGCGGAAATGACGCAGACGCGCTGTATTCAAACTTCTGTCTTCTGTGCGGGTATACGGGTGTTTAATATACGTAGTGCTAGCCTTACATGCTACGCTGTGGTTTCTTTTAAAACATAGTGTGCTGGTAAGTGTCACCGTTTTATGTACTGTGCTATTTAGCTGTTTAACTAATTTATTGTGGTTAAATTCCTGTAACATGGGCCAAATTGTTATCCGGTTAACGAGTAGAATTTCTTTTCCCGGAAGGGGCGACTGCATGTTTGTCTCGCTGAATAGTTAGTAAATTAATTTTGCAGCTGTTGTAGTACACTATGCAATGTTTACAAACAAAACGTTTAACGCACAAACTGATTTTATTAAAAGTTGTCGTTGGTTGTCAAAAACTAACTTACTCATGGTCTGGCAGATGGGGAGTGTCAGAAAGTGTGCGGGTTGCAGGCAATGTTGGTTTCGTTTCGCTTCGTGCCATTTCGTACGTAATATTTATCATTTACACCGTTTCCCTTAATTTCTTTATTATTATTGTTTGTCCTTAGTTGAATTCAACGTGTTAGTCGAAGACTTCATTTTTTAGTTTTATTTTAAGTACGGCGACGAGAGAGAAAGAAGTATGTACTGTACAGCACGTTCCCGTTACGAGTCAAACGTTCAGCATCCTTTTATTTTCTGATGCACAGGTTGCTAAACAACCAGATGGCTCAGAATTAAAGCAGATACATGTTTCATGTATTTTTTCCCCATTGACGACAGATGTATTTTTGCAGGAATCACTCCGATGATGGCGTCTAAACAGGCAAAGGACTCCATTGTCAGTAAGCTGGGAATGAAACTGGGTGGCTCTAAGTCTGAGATGGAACTTGATAAACTAAGGAAGGAAAATGCGCACCTGAAAAGAACCATAGATGAACTTTCTAACCGAAATGGAAAGCTAACAGATTCGGAGAAGAGCAAGCTTTTAGAGGTAATCCACTTTCTGAACCAATAAGCACGCCAGTTGCATCCCACTGAATATATTGTCATGATTACCGTCAAATCGATGTATTTTGCCGCATACATGCTTTGCGGTCCAGTCATTTATCTGTATAACACTTTTAAAAACAACAGGAGTTGACCCAGAGTGCTTTTGAGTTTAGAATTAAGAAATGCTACATACATAGTAAAAATAAATAAAAAATAATATAGTGAAATGTCAATAAATGACATAAAAACATATACAAGAAATAAAAAGTAACAAATTTAGGAAATGTAAAACAATTAGCAACAGGAAAAAATGTGGGTCTTTAGATTTTAAACTCATCAATAGAAGAGCAGGACTTACTGCTGGACTGGAGACTGTTCCAGTCTGCTACATATGTAACGTTATTTCATTAAAAAAGTGATTCAGTGGTTCATCGACACACCCAAACGGACACTATTTGTGAATGTGACGCTCTTTTTACTTTTACTGCTTTACTTCGTGTAACTAATTGCCTTTTTTTTTTTGAGATGCCATATTTTATACGGCAGGTTGTAATTCTATAGTTGCTTCTTGTGGATGTTTCCCCCCTCAAGTTCAAGTTTGTATTTATCACCCTGGTTGGTTCCCTTGACAATCCAACCTTAGCTCTTTCAGTGGAGGTGCTCCTGCACTCTCAGTGGGACGTGAACCTCAGAATAAATGAGCTTTCTGAGAAGTATAAGAGAATACGAGTAGTAAAGAGAAAAGTGTTTCACATTTACAAATAGTGTCAGCTTGGGTGTGTTGATGAATCACTGAATCACTTTTTTTTTTTTAATGAAAGATGGCGTTGAGTGCTGACTACTGCCGTAGCTAAATGACTCCATGGGATATTCTATCGTTTTTGGAGCTCGTTTTCTTTTTATCGTTCTTGAAGAGGATTCTGTCACTTGAGACACTGCAGCAGCAGAATATGACGCAGCTCCTGGCCAAAGAGCAGGAGGTGGCCTCGCTGAGGCAGCAGCCACCTGCCGCCGGCCGCGCGGCCGAAGCCTCCGTGCGGGCTCAGCTGGAACAGAAGAGCCGGGAAGCGGAGAAGTGGGAGAAACTGTACCAGGGTCTTTCTGAGGAGACGGAAAACCTGAAGAACAAGTGGATTGCGGTTCATGCCAGGTGTCAGCAACTCGAAAGCGCGGCGGCAGCTAACGGGGACCTGGGCTCACAGGTATCATCTCATCAGTGTTTCTCTCATGCAGTAAACTAAGCATCTGTGTCTGGAGTTGGACATGAGCATCATTTGTGAGGGGATACTACAAGAATGTCTGTTATTCGTAATTTAGATAATTGTACACTAGATGGCAGAATTTCCCTTTGGGTGGGGGTAGAATTTATTTTTTATTTTTTGTATTTCCATCAGGGGGCGCCATTTTGTTCTTTAATATCGCACTAAATTTTTCCCAACCATGTTTAAGTACTTTCAATATATTAAACTGAGAGCCATTTTTCAACATTTAAGGCATTCTGATTTTGTGTTGTAATGAAATAAAATTATCACTCGGCCATTTCAGCCGTACCTTTTTTAATTTTAAAGTCATGTTTTGTGTCTGAAACAATAGTTCTAAAGGATATTTCTTTGTGCTCATATAATATTATAATGTTTTCAGCTGGTTTAGGGAAATGGTGGCACATCTGGCTTTGAATGTTTTACCTTTCATTTAAATTGCAGTGCTCCAGTGCCGAAGGGCAGGTTGTTTCCAGTGACGTGGCGGTCGTCCAGGAGCACCTGAGGGATGTATGTTCTTTTCCAGTGCATGTTGTTTTCCTGCATAGAACAATCAGACTTTGTGAGTCTGTGTGTAAGTGAACAGCGTGCTGTTACTCACCCTCACTGCATCATCGGATGTTGCGTCCCGTTTTGTTTGGAAGGCCCTGGAGAAGAACCAGCAGTGGCTGGTTTACGACCAGCAGCGAGAGACCTACGTCAAGGCGGTGCTGGCCAGAGCGTTTGAGCTTGAGCAGCAGTTAAAGCAAGCCAACCATACACTCCAGGAGCAAAACAAAGAGGGCGATTCAGGAGGTAAAGAAAAGGCACGGCAACATGCGGAGAATTAAGCGCACTTTGGAATCTGGCTGCAATTTATGCTGAAATCACTTTTCCCTACGTTTTAATAATTCCTATTAAAAAGCTACAAATCCACTTTTACAGCTTAATACAGTACTATATTTATGTTTAGAACAAACTAAAAGCACATGTCTGTGTGTGTAGAATAGTTTTCCTTGAATGTTTTGTTTTCCAGAAGTGCCATCAGGAGTAGCGTAATATAGAATCACTGAAAATAAGCCTGTTTACTTTTTGCGGTTTTTAGATACATAAGTGTTGGTGGTGTCGTCGTCGTCCCCCCCCCCCCCCCCCCCCCCCCCCCCCCCCCCCATGTATTTTCCAGACGTCAAGCTGGCCCAAAAGCAGGAATACTATGACAAGCTTCTGCTGACGGCCAAAAAAGATGTAGAGGCCCAGAAGGAGCAGGTGGTCCAGGCACAGGGGGAGCTGGCCAACCTGAGGGCAAGGCTGGAGGACAAGAGGAGGGAGGCAGCCGAGACAGCGGAGCAGCTCCGTGCGGAGCGTGCCCGTGCCCAGGGGGGCGCCGATGAGGCCCGGCAGCGTGCCGAGCAGAGAGCGGACACGCTGAAGGCCGAGCTGGAGAACGTGCGGGCCAGACTGGAAGAGGAGAAGCAAAGGTCTTTGGGGCTGATCTGTCAGGTATACTAGGGTTTAATGGGGGAGATGTTTACCTCAAGGGACTGCAAGCATTTCAGCTTAACCACACTATAGCAGGGCTGTTCGAATCATGATACTCAAGGGCCGAGCACTGCTGATTTCCCAGCCTTCCTTTACCTGTGAGCTGGATGTAAAGCCTCTTTGGCCAATCAGAATCATTATTAAACTAACTGCCTGGGAGAACGGAAAACAAGGCCTGGATTTTGGAATCGAGGTCCAGATTTGAAGAGATCTGCACTGTTGTCCCGCCTGAGAGCAAATCCCACTTATTCTGCAGGCATCCTCATGCGTGGCTTTGTTTTGGTTTTGGGGTTTAATGGCGAAGAGGGCACAGCAAGGAGCTTGACCGCCTTTTCGAACTTCAGACGGACCTCTTACCGTGTTGCTTGTAACTGTGAAGTGTGTCTGCGGAAGCACTGAAGTTCTTTGTGTCGCCAGGTGAACGTGCTTCAGAAATCTCTCCTCAGCCAGCACGAGGAGCAGAAAAGGATCGCATTGTTGGAGCAGCAGGTAAACTGGGAGAATCTGACACGTCTGCTGGGGGGCTGCTGAAATTTAGAGAACTGGGCTCTGCAGATTTATAGGCAAGTCGGCTTCCAAGGGCCACTGTGGTTGGGGATCTGTGCTTTTTATACACGCGTGAATCTTCACGTGACGGATCCTTACCACAGCAGGTCCGAATAATCAAGTATGTTTCTAGATCCAGGCGTCTACCAGGGATGTTGAAAACGAGAAGCTGGACCGCCAGACTTTACAGAAACAGCTGCACAAGGTGCTGAAGGAGCTTCGCAAAGCAAGGGACCAGATATCGAGACTGGAGTCCGCCGTGAGTACCGGGCAGCGACGGCCGTTGATACGCAGCCGACCGATCGGAGAACGTCTCTCTGAAAATGTAACATGCCCCCCCCCCCGTTTTCCTCTCTCGAAAGCAGCAGGGGGGCTCCCACTTTCCAGACCTGGAGTTCGAGAAGCTCTCCATGGAGGATGCGACACAGACCCGTTCATCCGTCTCCAGGATCCCAAACCTCCTGGACGAGAGTTTCCTCGAGTGTCCAAAGTGTCGTGCGCAGTATCCGACCAGCCACCACCGCGAGCTGCTTGCGCACATTGACTACTGCTTCACTTAATCTGATCGCTGTGATTAGCTGGCACTGTTTTCCTTTATTTAATCTTTTATTCTTAAGCATGTTTTGTATTGGCGTTATGATGTGGCTGACTACTGTTTATTCAAGTGTTTCCTAGAAGGTCTTCATCTTGCCCGATTTAGCACGCCGAGCGTCGCTTTGCACTGCTGTGGGGGCCTTCTGTTTCAGGGGGCGCGTGTGCTTATTCGTGGGGAGGTGTAAGTGTTGAGCTCGTTAGCACTCCTTGCTATATTTATTGAGGCAAAGCTTTCCAAGAATGACATTTTATATAAAGGTGTATCTTTTAATTTATGGGAATAATCCATATATATATATATATATAAAAGGCTAATTTAAGGATTGCATTCCAATAAACTGTCCAGTCGACAGTTTAACCCTGCTTCCTCATGTCTCAGGAAGTGGCGTATTTGATGTTGCTTTGAATGATTCAAGTTTTCATAACTTTGGACTTTTTAAAATGACCAGTTTTAACGCTTATTTTCTAACCAAGGTGTTGTCATGTTCTGCCAATGATGACCTATGGTCTACCTTTAACTGACTGGAGTCCTGACTCTGCAAACCAAATCTGTATGTCGAATTAGGTTCTGCAAATAAATCCTCGTACTAGACTATTTAAAGCAGAGGATTTCTGTATCTGCTGAGGTTACGAAAGTGTTGGCTCAAAGGCAACTTTAAAATTAAGGTAACCAAGGGGGTTTGATAAGGTGACTGCTTTGGTGTGTTTTACAGACACGGTATGCCTTAGAAATATCTTTAGGCTAAATCAGTTAATGTTTTACTGACAGTATGCATGTATTTTATAAGACATTGACACTTTTTTTTATTTTTAAAAAAGATGTTTCAGGAAGAACTGGGATTGTTAGGAACAAATAATCAGTATTTGTGTCTTGTGTGAATTTAAATTTAGCTGTGTGTTTACGATCTGCAACTGTAAAAGCATAGGAGGGTGGGATTTGGTGGTACAGTAACGGGTTTGATTATTAAAAGCGTTTTGTGTGTACCTGCTGAATGTCTGATCACAGAGAGATTTCCTTTCCTTTTATCTGTAGCTATTTCCGGTTGTAGTTCTTATTGTATGCCTTGAGTACAGACGCTTCCTTGGTTATGATGGAGTTATCTTCGGATAAACTTTTGTAAGGTAAAAATGCGTTTTATAGTACAAAACACCTGACCTAACAAACATCCTAGCCTACCTTAAACATGCTTAGAATGCTTACATTAGCTTGCAGTGATACAATGATTTAGTCTACAAAATCATTAACACAGAGCCTATTTTATAATAAAGTGAAATCTGCATCTTGTAATTCATTGAATAATCATACCCATCATAAAGTCAAAATATTGTATCGTGACCATGGTAACGTGGGGATCGTCTGTATTTCTGCGTCTTTAGCCTGGGAAGGTATGATTAGTGTGTCACCTGTGGTTCTAAGGGTTTCCTGTCCTAGACAGCTGGCACATCTTGTGGGAGGAATTTCTAACATTGCTCTTACACAGTTCAACTGATTCACAAAGTGATTGAATGATCTAGTTTTGACTCTGGGAGGGGAGGGTATCTGAGATCTCATGCCTTTGAACTTCACTGTAAAATCAGGGTAACGTCTTTTTCATACTGGTGCTGTTTTGCTGCATAAAGTGTCCATAGAGGAAACTTGGGAGAAGTGTACAAACGTGTCCTCCATTCTCCATTGATGCAGTGAAGAGGAAAACCTCAGCTTCTTATATTTATTGGAGCATTGAGAAGCCTGAATTTTAATAAGCGAACCACTGAAACAGGAAATTGAGTTATCACAGCAAACGGTATATGACAGGTAATTCTGAAAGATGTGAGACTGGCATTCTCAAGTATCAATGAATACCCTTTAGTCAATGAATTCCCCTTGTTTTATTCCATTTTCATGCTAAACCGTCAAAATGGCGGAAGCATGAGCAAGATATAGACGTTTGCAACACATTAAGCCCTTTGTTATTGGGGAGGGCTGCTTGTAATGAAGGGGGTTCTTGGGAACGTGCCCACGTCGCTGATCATGTATCGCAGTAGCCTGGAAATGAAAAATAAAAATATCGGTTTCATTCTAAATTATCCATCCATCTTGTAATCCTGGTGGGGGTGCACAGGATTGCTGGAAAAGGTTTTTAAATTCATTCCATGTCAAATTTAATATTCTTGCAGTGCCGTTTAAGAGCATTTTAAACTGCATTCCTAGTTAATATATTCAGTACTTTATCTATCAGTATCTAACTTGTATTGCCTTTTTGGGTAGCATGATCCGCGAAGCTGGTAATTAGGCCCTCACCGGTATGGGCGACGCGTCTGTATTTTCCAAGCAAGCAGAGGTGTTGCTTCTTCTGAGTGACAATCTGCTGGTCCTCAGGTCTCAAGCCCGTGGGGTGGCGAGAGAAGATAAAGGAGTAGCTGTCCAGGCAGGTTCCGTCGTAATCCACCTCACGACAGGCATAGTGGATGGCATAGTTGTCGTAATCCGTGTCAACGATCCAGTGGTCGTCATCTTCGAGCGGACAACAGGACAGAAGGTAGTAAATACAAACAAACCTTTGCACGATCAATACCGGTGAACCGCGCACATATCGGCCTCTAAGATTAGCACTGTGCAGGCAAATAATACATTACTAAAGTCAAGGAAGGACCAAAAACTCTTTGTACAGAAGTGCAAAACAATGGAAATGGAATAATACAGAATTCTGTTCATTCAGTTTCGCCCTACATCCAGACTGAAGATGAGAAGCCGCTCCCCAATATTTCATCTTGAACCTCGCGGGGTCGGCCGTGTCCTCGAACGTTCCGAACATGTTGGCACAGAGCTCCCAGTTGCTAAACGGAGCCGGAACAAAAAGGGCATTGAGATATCAAACGATATCTACGGTGAAAAGCGATAGGAGGCAAAGTAATATATACAAAAATATTACTTAAAGATGACGACTCTGCCCTTAGCGGTAGCGGTCATCTTATTGTCGTCTTCAACATTGTACTCGGCTACGATATTATCTAGTAGAAAAAGCCCAGTCGGGTCCTTCTTGGCCACAGCATACCATGTTCCTGCAAACTGAAATAGCAATGAAAAACTTGCGCTTAACCCACAAAACCGCGGTGTGATTTAAAGGCCTTGACAAACGGCGGCTTTGCGCCATATTTATTCCCGTGCCTCACGCTGAGACACGGAGGAATCATTTCCCTCATTTACTCACCCTATGTCTGTCGAAGTCTTGCATTGTCTGCATTTCTCCGACCTGGCAAGCGTGCGTCCGGCAGCTTGCTAGGATACAGAGGGCTGCTAAAATCCTTAGCATGTTTGTTCTCCTGAACACCAGAGATCTGGAAAATAAAGACAAGCTTTTGAACGCAGCCTTTTAAAATGCCGTCTCCTTTGCCAAACCCTACTTTCCACTCCCATTCTTCATAATAGTAAATCAGTTCAAAATGACCGCAGTGTTCTATGACGCAAGCAGGATAATTTTGCACTAGGATGGAGAGTACCTAAACAAAATGGACTTTGTAGAATTCCAGTGAAGAGCTGTGCATCTGACCACTGGAGTTTGACTTATATAGAGCATTGCTGTGGGACAGGGTTTCATAAGCTCTGCTGGAGCAGTGGCGTGCCCCATTTTACTGAACAAACAGTTATGTAATACCTCAGTCGGTCCTATTTGGTGAGGTTGACCCCTGTTCCTTAAACCTCTGCTCCTCCTGCCAAGTAAACATCTGGTACCCATCAGACTTCACACTGAGCTGCTGTTTTTGTTGTTTAAATTGGGTCTCTTGGCTTGTTTTGTTTGGCAAGTGCAAGGACCTGGAAATGTTGGTAACACTTTACATTAATGCATCTTCACAATGCCTTTATAATACATTCATATGCTTTCATAGAACCTTCATAAGCAGCACGTATGTATGTTATATATTAATAACAAACATAAATGTATAATCGCATCATGTTTGTCAATGTCTATTAAAACTGTTTAGGCATGTTAGGATGTCAAGGAATACATGCTGCTTATGAATGTTCCATGAATGCATTTTAAAGGTGCAGTTAATGTAAAGCCTTACTAAAATGTTTGAATCTGGCCCATGCGAATAACAGTTTGAGTACCAACGAGTACTCTTCAAGATATGAAGCCATTTTTGTTTATCATTAGGTGCAGATGTCAGCTAAACAAATATTTGTTCAAAGAACAAGAAGAGTTCCATTTACATTCTGAGTCAGTTTATTTCCTCAAAACAGTGTAGTGACTGTTTGTGGCCATCCTGACATGCAATCCTCAGGGGGCCCTAGCAAATGCATGGTTAAGTGTAGTGCAGTGCTTCTTGGGGACCCGCAGCCGGTCCACGTTTTTGCTCTCCCAATTCACTGGCAGTTGGGAAGGAGCAAAAACATGGACCGTCTGGAGCTCCCCCAGGACTGATTTGAGAAACACTGCAATAGTGGCAAACCCCACTTCCGTGTATGATACCTTTATATCACGATTTCATCACATGCTTTTAGAATCAATCTTTCTAAAAAGACCAACAAGGTGAGAAACAGTCTGGAATAGTGAATATTTGCACATTAGTGCCACATCAAACTGTAAAAATCATTGAATGAAATCTCTCCCTAAAACTCCAAAGCAACCCGTTTCATTGCTAACTGTATATGCAAGCATGGTTCTTAATTTTATTAAATTGCATTGGTAATAGTCACAGAGTAATAGCCACTAAGCAAGTGGAAAATAATAGGAGACTGGCCAATAGCCTGGTCTTCCACAGACACCGTTGTGGACTTGGAGCTAGATGCCGAGCGTTTATGAGGCCTGGAGGATCAGGTGGACCTGTGCCGGACTCAGGCCCGTCACCCTAATGCCACAGGTCCTGCCGTCCACAGTGATTTGCTGGGACATTCATCACCCTCCACATTTTATGGAGGCATTGATATAGACTTACAATCAGAAATTTCAGTGGATAGATGTTTATTGAGAGGTTCTGCAGGCAACAAAATGTGAATACATGTCTCCTTGTAATGTTATGTTCATTGTGCATCAACATACCTGTATATAGCGTATATACATTTTTATCTCCTGTTTCTTGGTTTTATTACCTAATCATTGTTTAAATATTATTGTTCAAATATCCTATACAATCTAACATTTGTCCAAACAAATTATTCCCGAATATTGGTAATAGTTCAATTGTGTTGCTTTTGTTATTTTGTAATTACTGTTACTTCAGATTCCCTGTTCATTAATGTTAACCTAATACTGACAGTTGGGTCAATGAAATATAAACAAGCTTTATATCCATCTATTCAGGTTGTTTTTTATTTTTGCTTGTATACCACAACTTTCCACAACATGGATCCTTAAGATGTGAGTGAGTGATAACTTTACCATACCAAGAGATAAGGGGTGGGACATCAAAGTGACAAATTTTAATGAATCCTGGGCTTTAGGTTTAATGAATCCTGGGCTTTAGGTACTGTGTAAAAGTACCACATGCTCTCTCTCTCTAGCTGCACCATTTGGTTGTGTTCAGTTCCTAATGTTATTTTCAAAAATGGCTGCTGATGCTTGCAGTGCGATAGAACTACTAAGTCCAGCCTAATCCAGCAAATGGAAATAGATGTCCTCTCCCTTTGTTTCCTGACAGAGCAACTGGTTAATCATTGCACATCTTATTCTGGTCCGTGGGGTGCTGAAATCACTGGCTGGTTGAACAGTCCTAGAATGACACAAAAGCAGTTTTTTTTCTGCACTAAAAAGATGATAAACCCTGATTTCAGTTGTTCATTGTGTATGTTTATTAAGGTCCTTTATTAAGATTAAATATATAAAATTAAGTGCAATTTGTCATTCAAGGACGAGGCCCTGGGTATCATCATGTGCCAGCACGTTTCTGAATTGTGTGGGTATATTAAAGAAAGTTTGATTACTTTCTTTAACACCTCAAGCTTTTCATTACATGTGTACACACGACAGAGGCAGACATTTCAGGTCCAGAAAATAAAAATCCAGACCAAGATTTTGTTTTAACCATCCAGTTGATTACTCTGTGACTGTGACTCTTTATACTCAACTGGTTGGTTGAAACAAAATCCTGGTTTGGATTTTTAGTTTCTGGACCTGAAATGTTCACCTCTGACACAATATTACTGGGACACAAATATGTCAAAGTATGTTTTTTCAGAATTTTCTTAAAATTTTAATATCCTTCCCATGGAAAGTCCACAAAGGAGAATCCACTGGGCATTGCCTTTGATTGGATTGACCAAACTAAAATGACCACTGCTGGGATTTACAGGTTAAGAAAGCTTAGAGGCTTAATACCATGACGTCACGTTAATTGGTTGCCTTCTGGATCCTTTTAGCCATTAAGCCACTATGTTCTGTCACAAGAGCCGGAGGTCAGAGGGAGATCCGTGGAGCACCAGAAGATGCTGCTTGGAGTTACAGGGAACCGGTGAACACTTGTCCCCCTTAAGTGCCCCGATCCCTGCCCTGGTGATGCCCGTGTGAGAGTGGGAAGTGAGACAGAGACGAGCAGACATGGCCGACAAAGACAGCGTGGAGACGTACCTGGAGAACAATCCCCAGTTTGCCAAAGAGTACTTCGACCGGAAGTTGCGGCTGGAGGTGCTGACGGCGGCCTTCACCGACAAGCTGGAGGTCAAAGATGCTGCCTCGTTCAGAGATCTCACCCTGGTGCAGGAGGCGGATCTCATTTTCGACCTGGTCAAGGAACTGCAGAGGTCTAGCTGCATGGAGAAATCAATGCACAAGATCCTACAAAGGATCTGCCTCTTACTGAATGCCGACAGGTGCAGCATGTTCATGTGCCGGGCCCGCAACGGGACACCAGAGCTGACCACCGTGCTCTTCAACGTCACCCCTACCTCCCAGTTCGAGCATAACCTTGTGAACCCGAACTCTGAGATAGTCTTCCCTTATGACATTGGCATTGTGGGCTATACGGCACACTCCAAGAAGATGTGCAACATCCCAGACGTGAAACAGGTGAGTCTGCATGGTTGATTATGCAGGTGCTGCTGTTGGAGCTGGGATGTCCTTCTGCATTGTAGACGCTCAATTATGAAACCCAGTTTTATGCTTAAAAATTGAAGAGCCGATTTTCAAAAACCTATGGGATATGTGGACAGGGTTCTCAAGCAAGTAATATTTCTGTGCACTTAATCAGTTTTGGAAATTTAAAGAAGGTTATTCACTGACTGAGAGTTGGTTCCCAAAACTGTAAAATATGATGAGGAAGCCTGACATCAGTCATCTCATCTTAAAAAAGAACAAAAAATGAATTGAGGGTGTTTTAGAAATTTGCTCATCGATTCTGCTAAATATAGTCACAAAAGTTGTAAAAAGAAAATGTTTATTGTATTACAATAAATATGAGGCAACCCCTCATTAATGTAGATATATTGTGTAGAAACAGATTGAACAACAGGATTAGTGCAGGAGACATCAGGGGGCAACCCCACAAGACTCCTTGGAGAAATGAATCCAATTAGATAAAGAGCAACATTGTTAAGGTGCTTAACACAGATGCTACATGCGTATTGTGAACCCAAATTGAGATGTTCCGGAGTTCCTGAAATTCCAAATGGTAAGAAGTGTATTAATTGTACTCCATATCTGTCAGGCGTGTTGCAGTGATGGTGCTTTCAGGGTGCATCTGTCTTTAATATGCTGGGGCACATGCGTACACAGTGAATATTCATTATATTCCCTCTCAAATCATGGAAAGCTGCGGTATAGATGATGGATGGATCATGGAAAGCTCTCATTTAGCACATTCTATTTATTACGTGTTTAGCAAATTGGAAAATGTATCTCTGAGTCTGTCCGGTAACAGTGAAGCTGAGAAGATTCTTCCCGTGGAACATTTGCGTGGAACCTGGATGTAATGGACGACATTTCATTTCCTTTTCACTTAGTAGGATCAGGTGCTGAGGAGACAGGTGGAAGAAAGATGGATGTAGAGGTCTTGTTTCCATCTTTGATAGCATTGTATTTAATTTGCAACTTTCTTGTGTGATAAAACAATAGCAATACTGCAATAGTCATCGGAGTATTTGCTTTTCTCTCTCTCTGATTGGCCATCGAGTGCCCTCTCCCCCCCAGCCATATGCTCACCTGGGCATGCAACTGGGCTGCATATAGCAGCTCTCTTGGTTAAAAAATGATCACATTTGCCAGAAAAATATAATCCTTAAACAGAGGGACCATAGTGTCCAATGAGTATTCAAATGATTTATTTAATACTATGTAGTATATGCAGTGCAGTTAGATATATGCAGTATAGTATTTGTGGAAGTGATTATATACTGCATATTTGTAGGTTTGCTGAGAGCGGGGGTGGGGAGCCAGTGAGGGTGCGGGTTTTTGGAATGATCTCTCAATCAGCCAATCATAAAGCAGTGGTTCTGAACTCCAGTCCTGGGGACCCACTGTTATTGGCTGACTGAGAGATCATCCCAAAAACCCGCCCCTAATCCAGCCCTCCACAGATCAGGTTAGCCACCCTTGGCCTACAGAACAGTCTGCGTTCTTTGAGTCATTGTTGGAAACTTGTGGTATTGGATCCATGTCATTTTTGAATCTGACCTGTTGTTGTCATTAACAAATCTGGCCATCCATCTCGGACTGCTCTCCTTAAAGAGGTGTTTTCACCCACAGAATTTCCCGATCCGGTATCTGTTTATCGCACCATCCTCTCTTAACTGTGGACACTGTATTGTGCGACAATCTGAGGATGGTGGCTGTTTCTGAGATGCTGGAACCCCTGCTTCTGATAGCTACGGTTGCAACACGACGAAAATCACTTCCGTTACAAGTATTTCCTTTCTAAAGCTTTGCTGAACAGTCACTGAATCTCCTGACCTTGTTTGTACATCATGTGTATTGACTTGCAGTCACATGATTTTCTGTTTGGCAGAACAAGCTATTTGCATTCACAAGCAGATGTACCTCATGAACCGACCACTCAGTGCGCATAGCATGTAATGTTGTTGTTATATATGATACTATATATAACATCATGGTACATTTTCCATGTGGTCTCCAGTAAGGAGATTAACTGAACACCATTGATTGCTAAAAATTTTGAATTATAACCCTGCCTTTTAAATTGTGGGGCAGCATTTGTGACAAAGAATGAGAGCAAACAAGCACATAAAAACAAGGAATATGGAGTGAATGAAGCTGTTATTTGTTGCCTGTTATTACCCTGGCTGTGTGCGATAGCTCTGCATTCACTGTTCCAGAACCCTTACTTTAGCGACTTTGTGGACAAGCAGACCGGATACGTCACGAAAAACATGCTTACGTGCCCAATCATGAGCGAGAAGGAGCCTCTCGCCATCATCATGGCCATAAACAAAATGGGCGCAAACGAATTCTCCAAACAAGATGAGGAGGTGAGTGAAGCGAGGAGGATGCAGCTGGTGTCACAGATGCAGCTGGTTTTATTCTTGGTTTTTATTCACATTTTCCATTATTATTGTAACTGGAATATATTGACCAGTATGACAAACTATGAAATTACTTGCCGCTATTAATGCTAATATAAAGCACAATGCTTTGCACAACTACTGCTTCTTAGGCAAACTGCACACACTTTTACGTACCTTGTTCATAGGTATTTATGTATTATTTATCTACTATTTATCTATTTTTTTTTTCTTTTATTGTATGTCTACTTAATTCCCTGATCTCATGATACCTCTATTCTTTGGCTGGAGCGACAGTAACAAAACCAGATTTCCCCCCAGGATTAATAAAGTGTTTTGATTCTGATTCTGAAAACATGCATTTAAATGTAAGTGGAATGTACAACAAAGGCCTTGGTAGGTCCTGTTCCTCAGCCAAACAGCCACAGCTTGCTGTTCCTTTGCATGGGTTCTAATTTAATAAAAACTGTCATTTCATTTCCCTTTTTTCAGCTCTTCAAAAAATACCTGGATTTTGCTACAGTTGTCACACTGCAGCACTACACCGCCTACATGTGGAACGTGGAGTCCAGGAGAAGTCAGGTGACTCAGAGCACAGCCATATAGTTTGACCCGCCCATCCAACACTGCTTTTTCATTGGTCAGCCGAAGCTGTGATTTAACATGACTGACAGTTTTATCAGCTGTCTGTAGCTGTAGAAGGGCTTCAGACCAGTTGACCTTATCTTAAAGGGGACCTATTATTCGTTTTCGGTTTTCCCTTCAGTGTGTTATATAGCTTAATATACATGTAAGTGGTCAGCAAAGTCTTGAGGCCAAAAGTTCACACCAAAGGGAGTAACTCTCACCACAGAAACCACTCTGCTCTAATCTGCCTGAAACGCCTTGTTGGGATTCCAGCCCTTACGTCCGTGAGAGGGTGAGGTCACCTCGAAACACAATCCTTATTGGCCTCCCGCCTGCAAGGATCTGGTCACAGACTGCAAGACAGGGGGAAATGTGTCGGGCACGCTGACCAGTCAGAGCACATTGGGCTCGTCAGTGGTGGGGCTTAAAGCTCTAACACAGGGGTGTCAAACTCCAATCCTGGGGGGCCGGAGCCCCGCACACTTTTGAGTTTCCCCTCATTTAACACAACTGACTCAATACTTGCAAATCCTTGTGTTAATTACCACGCAGCTCTTGCCACATGCCAAATCATTTGTGCTGGAACAGGGAAAGAACTAAGCTACATAGGGCTCCGGCCCCCCAGGACTGCAGTCTGACACCCCTGGTCTAACAGAGCATTTCAGACAGAGGGTGAATAGAGATGTACAGTGTAGAAAAATTATGTGTTTTTAAACACTGAAACATTTAAATCAATTGTAATAGACCCCAAAAACAAAATTATAAACAATTATAAACAAGGAATTAATTGAAATTAATTTCATTAATATGAAAATATGGGAAACATTCATGGAGATACTAAGAACAAAACATGTATAATTGGTCCTGAAAGCATTTGAAGACCCAAAAATGTCCCTGAATCTGTGTGAGGCCCTCACAGCATCACTACTGAGTCCTCAGCTCCGACGTCTTCATCAGTTAGTGACGTGCTAATGGAAGGACAGTGCAAACAGGAAACTCCTACCAAACGGCACTAAGAACATCCTGCTCAAACACCAACCACTCCATCTGAAGCCGTCTACTCAGGGTAAGATAATCATGAAATTAAATATTTATTTTCCCTCTCACATTTCCCAAGGTGTTACTCTGGTCTGCCAGCAAAGTGTTTGAAGAACTGACGGATATCGAGCGACAGTTTCACAAAGCGCTATACACCGTGAGAACTTACCTCCAATGTGAACGATACTCCGTTGCTCTCCTGGATATGACCAAAGAGAAGGTTCGCAAATAAACCTTCTGAATTTATTCTGTCAAAATGAGGTGTGGAACTCATCAGCTTGATTCGACTGTGGGTCGCAATATTTTCCATATCTGCAGGAATTCTACGATGAATGGCCAGTCCGGCTCGGAGATGTAGAGCCGTACAAGGGCCCCAAAACTCCAGATGGCAGAGTATGTATTAATTTAATCAATCTTTACTGAGTGACCCGCTGAAGCAGAACTTCATCATTTCTTTGCAATGTGGACAATGTGAAAACATAAAAAATGGTTGCTGGCTTTGTCCTACCCAGGAAGTGAACTTCTACAAAATCATTGATTACCTTTTAGAAGGAAAAGAAGAAATTAAAGTTATACCGTGAGTGTTAATCATCTACTTGAATCAATCAATCCGTTGTTTCTTTTGGTTTCTTTGATTTTAATTAACTTCTACTGTGCTTTGATCGTGAGTTAATAAGATAAAATGATCTATTTTTGTGTTTCAAGGGCTCCTCCAGCGGACCACTGGGCCCTTGTCAGTGGCCTCCCTACGTACGTTGCAGAAAATGGCTTTGTGAGTTTAGTTTAACACTGAATAAAGAACAAACTCAATATAACACATTGAGTATGTATTAAATTATATATAATGTAAAATACAATATAAAATGATATATCATTTGAAAATCAGTGTTGAGTTTTCCTTACATATTCCATGACTCTTTTAGCCAGAGGTGGACATTTCAGGTCCAGAAAGTAAAATTCCAAACCAGAATTTTGTTTCAACCAACCAGTTGAGTACTCTGTGACTGTGACTCTTTATACTCAACTGGTTGGTTGAAACAAAATCCTGGTTTGGATTTTTAGTTTCTGGACCTGAAATGTCCACCTCTGGTTTTACAATAGAAAATCGTAATTGGCTGTTTTCCATTGCTTGAACAAAGTAGCATTATTTTTGCTGTCTGATAAATAAAGTGGCTGCCTGTCACCTATCCTCACACAGATCTGTAACATGATGAATGCCCCAGCAGATGAATACTTCACTTTCCAGGTAAGAGAATGACGGAGGCCAATATATGTCAGCCACAGACTCGAGAATTGTTATTGGCTGGATGAGTTCGCACAACACTTATTATCATTGGCCCCAAGAGTTGACCATATTAACCCTTATATTAATTCCTCAGAAAGAGGCCGTGGATGACTCAGGCTGGAAGATTAAGAATGTACTGTCACTTCCTATAGTCAACAAGAAGGAGGAAATAGTGGGCATAGCCACCTTTTACAACCGAAAGGACGGCAAGCCATTCGATGAGTATGATGAACAGATCACCGAGGTTGGTCAAAGAGACTGATATTTATGATTGTTTTTTTTTTATTATTGAGATTTAAAATTACACAATTTGATTCAAAATAACCTTTGCTTAGGTTTGCATGTTTGATTGTTAGATATGTCAATAAAAATGATGTGCTTGATTCTCTAGGCCCTCACACAGTTCTTGGGTTGGTCTGTCCTAAACTGCGACACCTATGACAAAATGAACAAACTGGAGAACAGGAAGGACATTGCACAGGAAATGCTCATGTACCAGACAAAGTGCACGAAGAGTGAGCTGCAGTCCATTCTGGTGAGTCTTTGACTCCAAGCTGACTAAGGTCCTGGCATCCAAAATGGAGCCAAGATGATTTGGACCAGGGTTGTTCAAATCACGATCCTCAAGGTCTGAGCACTGCTGATTTCCCAGCCTTCCTTTACCTGTGAGCCAGGTGTGAAACCTCTGTGGCCAATCAGAATCAGTAATTATTAAACTAACTGCCTGGGAGAACGGAAAACATGGGCAGGATTTGGAATTGAGGTCCAGATTTGAAGAGCCCTGGCTTAGACTATGCTGTTTGTGTCCTTGCCTGCAGAACACAAAGGAGAAGTTTGACAAAGAGCCGGAGGAGTGTGATCAGAAGGAAATGTATAAACTTCTGGTATGGCATCTAAAATATGACATACTTGTTAATTCACGTAAAACATTCAATTTCTAACTAATGCATAAATCTCCTAATCTTTGCAGAAGTGTATTAAAGTATTCCCTTGACAATCTCATCATCCTTACCTAACCTGTCATTCTGTCTGTTTGCCTTAATCAGCGGTCAAATATTCCAGAGTGTAAAGATGTGGAATTACTGGAGTTCCATTTCAGCGACTTCCCGGTGTCTGAACATGACCTAATCAAGTGTGGGATTCGATGTTTCTTTGAGCTGAATGTTGTGGAGAAGTTTAAAGTCCCTGCAGATGTAAGACAGTCTTCCAGCTGCTATTGTTTATCCTAGGCAGGATAATAATCCATAGACTGGTTAATATATTCACATTCTATCCCATCTTGGCTACTGGTAGAAAGAGCCATCTCTATGTTAGCTGAAATTCAGAATATCCAGCCTGCATGATTTGGTTTCCAAACGAATCCACTGGCAAGTTGCTTAAGCTTTCAGAGTTCTATGTCATAGCTTTCGAAACACAATCTGTGCCTTCTTCCTTTATATTAGGTTTTGACACGATGGATGTACACTGTGCGTAAAGGATATCGTGACATTACCTATCACAACTGGAGACACGGGTTCAACGTGGGCCAGACAATGTTCTGCCTGCTACAGGTAATAGACCCTCTTAGAATATAATTCGTAATATGAAATAAGAGTTTCAGCAGAAACTACTAAGACATTATGTGTATCAGTTAGCAGACTATAGTGATGCCCCCATATCTACAGGTGATTCGTTCCAAGACCTACTGTGGATGTGGCTGAATCCACAGATAATAGTGAACCATCTGCAAACCCCATGATACCAACATTTCCAACATTAAATACATTAATAATGTAGTACATTGTACATTATTATACAGTACTGTATAGTGCTGCACTCTCTCTCAAACGGAAGATATTCTGTTTTAGCCTAATTCTCAAGAGACAATGGAGCAGTGAAAAAATATCACGCATCAAAGGATGACGGAACAATGAAAATCACACTTTATGCATATTTATAACATAGACACTAGGATAACACAGCAACAAATGCAATCAGAGAGAGTTGTAGTGGCAGCGTGGATGAGAGTTTTGGGGTGCATGGGTATGGACACAAAGTGAGATGAGTCATATTTTAGGTATGACTGGGCTGCTGGATTTCACCATGTTAATGGCTGTGATTGCTTGGCACGCGGTTTGAAACTTATGAACCATTTATTTATGGAATTTTACTATTTTTTTGGACCGCGGAAAACTGCAGGTACCTGAAACCTTGGATACGGAGGTCCCACAGTATTATATTTTTTGGTATAGCTTGAATCATGAACCAAACGTTTGCGTTTTTTCTGCCTTTGTAACGGAAAATGTGTAATTTGCACTCCGCTGGGTGTCCAGCGTTTAATATTTTCTCCTGTGCTCTTCCCTCCTCCACAACAGACTGGACGTCTGAGGAAATATTACTCTGACCTTGATGCATTTGCAATGGTGGCGGCTGCGTTTTGCCATGATATTGATCACAGAGGAACCAATAATCTCTACCAAACTAAGTAAGCCTTTGAATGCCATGCATTCATGCCAATAGAGAAAGGAATGTACAGCAGTATTTTCTCACGTTTTGCATGTACGGCATTTTCTGATCGGTAGGAGTGCATCTCCACTGGCCAAACTACATGGATCGTCCATTATGGAGAGACACCATCTTGAGTATAGTAAGACACTAATGGCAGATGAGGTAATATTAATTATTATAGAGAACTGCATTCAATCAATACAATTCTGTCAACCCAAGACAGGTTCCATGCATGGTAGATCAGAATCTTTGATGTCTTCTTCAGAGTCTGAACATCTTCCAGAACCTTCAGAAGCGTCAATTTGAGAATGTGCTACATTTATTCGATGTTTGTATTATTGCAACGGACTTGGCTCTGTACTTCAAGTGAGTGATTGTCCATTCATGTCCATTGATGTTAGAGAAGACGCCTCACATTGTCTGATTGCTACCATTACCTTGGTGCATATGGAGATGTTTCAGGCCACCTGTCAGAAAACAGACACTGAAGTGCATGTTCATCTGTCGCTCAGGAAAAGAACATTGTTCCAAAAAATCGTCGATGCAACAGAGCCAATGACGGATGAGAAAGAGGCCATCAATTATGTTGCCAACAACCCCGTCAGGAAGGAAGTCATCATGTATGATGAATCATGTGCTAAAATGAAGTTTGAATAATATACCATTGTAGCAACAAAAGGGTAGATACATTTTATCACCCTGTATGATGACAGAATGTTTTACTTACCACAGAAACAAAACAGTGATTGACCCTAAAGCCAACCTAGTTATACTAACAAAGACATTCTTCCTTCCCAAATAGGGCAATGATGATGACTGGCTGTGATCTCTCTGCCATCACAAAACCATGGGAAGTCCAGAGCAAAGTAAGAGCAATTTGTGATTTCCATGGTGACCTGCAGCTCTGCTTTTTCCACGCTGGACCTTTCCAGCCCGTCCGTTTTTATCGTTTAGGTGGCTCTCATGGTGGCAGCTGAATTCTGGGAGCAGGGTGACCTGGAAAGGACAGTCCTTGACCAGCAGCCAATTGTAAGTCATAGTGTATCACATATGTGGCAATTCGTCCAGTCACATTGTTCTGAAATGGCTCTGTTGTTCTTTATCACATGCTAATACGACTGATGTTGAGCTGCTTTTACAGGATGTAACATAGGGGTTCTTAGCCCCCAGTCTATGGCCATGTTGGGGTTTTTGTGGTGGGGTTGGTTAATTTCCAAAAATAAACTATATATTTTCAATTTTTGCTGACCCCCTGTTTGCATTTTCTGTCTGCATCTAAAAAAAAAAATGAAAACGGTTAAAGTTATGAGATTGCGAATTGATCCCCTGAACCTGAGCACCTTCCCCCCACCCAGGCTATTTTACTGTAAAAGTTTTATACGGGGGAATTTGGTCAATGGACATCAAATGGTTAGGATGTAACACACCATTTAAAAATTGAACTTCATTTGTTATAATTGATTCATTGTGTAAGGTGTAACATAGCTAAATGATTTTTTAGATTTTTTTAAATACGTCATCACACCTTTATTGGTTCTTTTCCCTCAATTCACTTCAGCCAATGATGGATCGCAACAAGGCTGATGAGCTTCCAAAAATGCAATGTGGTTTCATTGACTTTGTTTGCACCTTTGTATACAAGGTAAGGTGAAATATCACCGGGTCTATAACGATATAGATCTATGTACATTGTCCCATGTTTAAAGGAGAAGAAAACTCTTTGGGCCTCCATACAGTAGCTCAAGGGTGTAGTGTCATTTGTGTTAAATTACATTATGTAATATTTTACCGATTTATCATAAACGATATTGGACTTAAACTCAACAGCTGTGTTCACGCCAATGTTGTGCAGGAATTCTCCAGATTCCACAAAGAAATCACGCCAATGTTTGCCGGCCTGAACAATAACAGGATGCACTGGAAGGAGCTTGCTGACATTTACCAAGCAAAGGTCGACACCCTTGAGGCAGAGAAGAAGAAGTCTGAAGAAGAGGAGGCGAAAAAGGGTGACTATTAAGAACCATTTCATAACGTAACAGTCGTCAATTGATGTCGTCATTACAAATCATGAAGTAAAATGCATTTTGCAAGCTAGGTATTGATAATGGTATGTTATACAACTTCACTCCTAAGCAGGAAAAACTGTTTCAGCTCAATGAAACCAAGCCTTGACTTCTCTTCTCCCTGATGAAGCTGGTGGAAGCTCTGGAGGAGGAGGACGGGGAGGAGGAGATGGGAAGTCCAAGACCTGCACCATATTTTAGACCTTCATCCAACGTTTCCCTGACTAATGTACAGATCCCTGGGTGACGTCCAGAAGGGTAAATGAGTGCAGCTGCCCCCCCCCCCCATGATGCATCTCCTCTTTATCCTCCTCCTCACACTTCTGTGATGCTTGGTAAGCCATTCTTTGTGGACCAAAGAACTAACGTTCTACTTAAACCTGTGAAGCATCAGCATTAAGACAATTGACCCTGTTAGAATAGCACAATAGTCCCTGATAATTTAAAAAAAAACAAAAAACAACAGAACATGCAAAAATAATGCTTATTTTTTAATCCACCAAGCCATTGCAGCACTTAGTTCTTCAATCTGCATCATTAACTAGTAATATTATTGCTCCTTACAAAGTCTTGTAACGGACACTGAGTTCTTTATTTTTGAAGCTAAGCTATGCTAACACGTTCTTGAATAGTTGAGGAGATTAAAACGAACGTGTTTCTCCATGAACCAAATGACACAGCACACGTGTTGTATAATGAAGTCCGAGGTATCCGGTCCATATGCAGAGCATAGGCCTGTTTGAGTGACATCCAGTCACGATATGTCAACCATTTAACAATGTAGGCCTACATACAGTAATATATAAAGGGGATGTATTAAAATATATACATTCTAAAACCTTACTAATAACCAGTATCTACGATTTTACCAACCAATGTAATAAAGTTTCTAATGAACATTCATTAGAAGTTTACTTGTACTTTTATTCATTTAGACATGGGTCCCAATGATATTGATATACTTAGTTATATTAAATACTTTTTTGTTACTGTTAACCTCCAGAACTCTGGAAAATCACTTTCCTGTGAGAAAATGAAGTCTGATGGCACGTTGCTTAAATAACAATGTGTGGAATGTAATTTGGTGTTGTGCTCAGATTACATTTTGAAATCAGAAATATCTTTGCACTGAAAGGCTATCATGGAAATTGCATATATTTCAAAAACTCCCTTCAAAAATCCACCCATCCATCAATCCATTCATCCTCTAACCACTTGTAATGGTCAAGGTTGATGGGGGCTTGGAGCCTGTCCCAGAATGCACAGGGTACAAGGCTGGGGGGCACCTTAGATAGGATGCCAGTCCATTGCAGAAATGTGAAGAATGTCAACAACATAGATTATATTCATATAACATACAGTAAATATCCTAGTCATGTAAACACATCATGGCCCATCCCATGTACTTAACACAGTCCTAGGTTTTTGATATTAAATAATGGAGAAAAATAAAGTGTGCAACCCAGTGTTTGAATCCAGAAAATAAACTGAACATTAAAGGTTATTGCAATGACACTCAAAGAACATGTGAGAGAAGACAGTGTGGGAAAAGGTCATCAGTACGAGGGCAACCATCTGAAATGGCAGCTATATATCTGTAAGAAGATTGCAGTGGATTGGATCTGATTCTAAGCCAGCTTCTGAGGTCCACAAAGCATTAAACTTTAAATACCTTAAAGTCAACAATGAGTCATATTATTTCAAATGTGACGGGAGCCTCACAAGCTTTTTTGATGAACGAACATCTTCAAATAAATAGCCAAATGAGAAAAGATTAATACATATGGAAACATGGGCAGTAATCACAGTAACTGCGGTGATTTTCACAGCTATCTGGATATAAATATCATGTAAATAAAATAAGTACGCATTTACGCTGTTACCACAATCAATTGTCGCACGTATCATTTTTAAAGGTGAACACATACTTGCGTATCAGTTATGTCAATCCCTGGTCCCAATCAACTATTCCCTTTAAGTGTTGTTTTCTTTGAAATCATTTCAAGACTTAGCAAGTAAGTCCTATTAAAACTAGAAAAGCACTGAGGTCGACAGTTGCGCTGCCATAAACAGGAAAGCTGCCATGTTGTTTAAAGGTCTCCCTCTCGTTTAACCCCCGGGAAAGAGGGGGTAATCCAATAAAAGGAGCCTGAAATGACTTAGCTAGCACCATGTTCCAAGAGCTACTCAGAAAACACCTCAGATAAGAATCCCACAATCAGATAACGTATAAGCGTACATTTTGCGGGCTGTCATCCGATTTATTGTTCAGCAATAATTTTAACATGCTTGTGTATTGATATACACACCAACACACACACACATACAAAAACATGTGTGTGCATCAATATATGCTTGTACACTGTAGAGAATTTGCTGTTCTGTGGCTTGTAAAATATGTATGGGTTTCTGTCATAAAATGTAAACCGAATAATGGATCAAATAAAGGTCTTGTTGAAGACGCTTGCCCATCTCTGCCACCTGTGTGGCACCCAGAGGCCTCCGGGCATCTTTCTCCACCTTCAATGGTGGTGTCACGCCATTAAACAGAGCGCTGTGCTGAGGTCTGCCTGTTACACAACAGCCGTAGGGGTTAACGGGAGATCCAGCAGTAAGAATGTGGCCCCCTGGTGGCCTTTTCGTGGTGAATGGATTACCTGTTAAAGCTGGATCAAAAAGGGCAAAGAAGATCAGGCAGGGGAAAGAGACACGAGTCCAGAAAGTACAAACCCAGACCAGGATTTTGTTTCAACCAACCAGTTGAGTATAAAGAGTCACATTCACAGAGTACTCAACTGGTTGGTTGAAACAAACTACACACCTCTGGTATCTTAGCAGGGCAGATCTTCTTCCATAACTGGCTGCTCTCTGCCACTGGCACTGGACTGGACTCATCCAGTGCTCACATACCCTAGACACCAAATTCAGTGTTTCCCAACCCGGTCCTCAGGAACACTCAGACCAGCTCCAAAAGCGTGGACTGTCTAGGAGACCCCAAGGACTAGGTCAGGAATCACTGACCTAATTCACTCTTGTTTAATAATAATCAATCCTTTATTGTCCCCGTGGATATCGTCCACCTCCCTCAACTTGCTCTTTGTAGAGCAAGCTGCCCACAAAGGGCAGCCACCTGTTGGGGCACCCAGGGAGCTGGGGGTTAAGGGCCACACACTGCTGGTCCATATACATCACTGGGGCAATGAAACAGTTAAATGAACAGAAGAGCAAAATAGATGTTATATAAAAGAAATTAATAATGTTCCGGAACACAAAATGTATTTATTGATTAATGGGCCTAGTTTCCGTTATATAATTCTTTCGGACTATGATACATTTAAGCACTAACTCTTGTCCTGACCAAAAACAATCCTGCAAAATTTTTTTACTTAATTTAAAAATTTTACTTAAATGTCATCTTGGCCATGGGCCAGTAGTTGTATAACTCTGAGGGAAATGGACAATCTATTCCATCATGTCATTCAGGTATGACTAGAAGAGCTAAGTACTGCATCTTAAACATTGCAGTGCTGTCAGGTTCTCGGGCATTAACGGCCTCCATCCTGACACAGCAAAAGTAGCATCACTGTTGGATGTTCTGCTGATCTCCATGCCTTTCTGCTGCTGGAAGGGATACTTCAGTTAGTCTGTAGCGGCTTCCTGTACTGACAGGTAATTGTATCACAGCCTTGGCTGGGTCCACAGGCAACTCATTTCCTTACACTTACTGGGAAACTAACAGCATCTGAGGTGAACTGGGCGGAGCCTAGTGTGAGTGGGCGGGACATGTGCTCAGTTTGTGAGCAGACTTTGTCCAAAGACTTCACGAGTGATTAAGATGCTCTTCCTTATTTTGTCTGGGGCCGGACTGTTCAGGCATTCTTTATGCAAGCTCATAAAACTCGGCCAAAAACATGCCAATTCCCGAAAGACTACACCTCACACTAATACGCACACACAGCTTCACAGACGTGTATGCACGCATATTTATATAACTGCATTTATATAACTTTGTGAACTGAGCAACGTGATTCTGCCTGAGGAATGCGGCAATCTGCCAAGACCAATTGGAAAACTGGATATTTCCAGCACAAGTCAAATTAGTGGAGAATGTTTTATTATGTTTTACGACAGGGGTTCCTGTTAGCTTTGGCTTTGGAGGCAAGTTGTTTCAGCCAAGATGGATGGCTCTTAACCTCCTGCTCGCCCTCCTCCGCCTGAAACTCCAGCAATTTCCAGAGAGCTCAAGCTAAGAAGAGCGTAAAAAGAAACAACCTCCACTTCTACGAGCTAGTGACGGAGAAGCCACGTTACTGCATATCTAGAGGGAAAAGGAGCAGATTAAGGTGTTATTTCATTCCTGGACAGCAAATTTTCATTTGGTGATGCTGGTGATTAATAACACAATGGACATTATATACAGTGTCTTGTGTACAAGCATAAAAATGCAGAACAAAATCTGAAGTTTGCTCTCCACAAAAATACTTCAAAAGGACTTCAAAGGAACATGTCCTCAAAGTAGTCATCGAATTCCTCCTCCCTAAAAAAAGGGAAAAAAAGACTTATTAAAACATCCTCGCTCTGAAATCTAAACTAAAAGAAAAACATGTTGAATAGTATAAACAAAGCGCAATTTTAAATCTGAAATTTACTCTCCTCTCTACTTTATGTATACAAAAGGTATATTTAATGGTACTGGGATTCACACTTATTGCCATGTCAAAATGTTATACACAGAAAAAGTTATTGTGGTAACACATTCTATGGATGTCATGTTTATAAGAATCTATGAACACATTCATAACACATAATGCATTCATAAACCATTATAAACATGGCTATAAATATTTATATAAAGGTGTAACATATTATAGCCATGTTTATTATGCATTATGAATGCTTTATGAAGCTCTCATCTATAATGCACTATGGCTACCTCACAGTGTAGTGTAAAGCATGCGTCAATTCTTATTCTGACCATTATAATGCATTATGAAGGTATCTACAGTGTAATATATATGAGTTTCATTGGAGCTTATGAAATATTATAATCAACACTACAATGCCTTATGTCTGTCAATAGAAGATGCTGTAATGCTTTATTAATTCTTATACTGACCATTATAATGCATTATGAAGATATCTACCTTACAGATGACAGCTTTAATGTTACTGTTATTGTTAATGACTGATAAATATTACCGTGACAGGATTTGTGTTGCGTAGGTCTGCATGAGACTTACCTCGACTTCTCCTCTATGCTGGGCGCTGGACCCTTCCAGTGGTCTGTCTCTGAAGAGGCTTCATCTTCCTCAGCCTCCACCTCCTCACTAGACGCTGGGTCTGCAGCAGGAAATACTTTGTTGGGATACACCTGGCCTGTCATGGCATGGAGTGACAGCTAATCCTACCACAGTCCTCTGATCCTGCACATATTTTTTCAGGCCCGACCGAAGACTGACCTGAATGACCTCTAAGCCAGTAAGCACAGGTATGCTTTGCAAATGGTGCTTCTAGAGCAGTGCTTCCCCACCCAGTCTTTGGGACCCCCCAGACAGTCCATGTTTTTGCTCCGTTCCAGTTCCAGGCATAAACCGTGGACCGTCTAGGGCTCCTCAAGGACAGGATTGGGAGGCACTGCTCAAGAGGAACCCTGCTCTTGTATACTGAAGAAACGGGTCACGTTAATGAGTAATGGATAATATTTATCACACTCCCAGCAAAGAAGCACAGCAATTAAGCCACGGGGGGCTTAGAAAGGGCAGGAAGTAAAACAAGAAACGTACGGCATTATCATTCCAGAGCTCAACACATTAGTGTTCAGTCGCACACCATCAGGAATTTAGCCAGTAAAAAAGCAGATGTTCTTGAAGGACTATCTCTACATTGTTCTCTGTTCTCTATGAGGTTACTACAGTTCATACAGACATATTCAGACAATAGTCCTCATTGGTGAAGATTTTGGATATAGTTTACCTTTGTTGGAATCTTCAGAGTCCTCTGAGCTTGTGGTGGTAGAATGTTCTGTGTGGGAAATGAATATGTGACAGTAAGTTTGCTTCGTGGATGTCAAGGTAGATGGCAGAAAAAGACGACTGCTTTTGTCGCAATAGAGTAAGTATCTGAAGGAAGAAAAAAATAATACGGAGGAGGAAGAAGAAGGAGGAGGCGAAGAAGAAGAAGGATGAAGAGGGGGAGAAAAAGGAGAAGAGAAGGCGTGAAAGGAGAAAAACAAGCAGATAAATGAGAAAAAAAGAAGAAGAAGAATAATGAGCACCACAAAACTGCAATAATGTGATACAGTCAGCATCTGAGTTAAGGGGAGCTGAGATAACAATGTCCTGCCTTTGCTCTTCCTCCTGCGCTTCTTCTGCCGGGATGATTTGGCAGTTTTCGACTCCCCCTTCACTTCGGCTTTAATCCTCTTTTTAGCTTTGAATTCCTTTCTCCTAAAAAGGAAATTAGGAAGTTTCACATAGTAGTAAAGCTTTTTTTTTTTCGAGAATGCATTAAGACGAGCAGTGTGTCACGTTAAAATAAAAATGAACACCTACTTGTGATGATAGTTAAGTTTGTAGGAGCACTCGGGGCAAAGTCCTGAAAGTGAGATCTGTCGGTCAGTGCTGGTGTCGGACATACGGTGTGAGCGATACAAAAAATCCACACAGCAAAGAAGAAATGATTTATAACAAGCAAGAAGATATGTTAGACATTTAGATTTATTTATGAAAAGTGGGATAGACGTGCACTGGATGAACAGTCACAGAAGATGGTCTTGTGGTATATCAGAAATTTTGAAGTTGAGCTTAAGCGTTGCTCTGTTAATTTCAAAAGTCAAAATGTTGAAAAGCATGAAAAGATAATGAACTTTCTCAGCAGCCAGCATCTGAAAACCCTGAAATATCAACAGCGAATAAGTGTGTCATACAGTATCAGTCAATAGTGTGGACACATCTACTGCTATCAACTCTTTTTCAACAAGATAACAAGTCCAAGCACACCTCACAGTTACGTAGTAAGTATTATCTTGTGAATATGGAATAGTGCTGTGGCAGAAGACCTGGTCCCCACAATCCCCTGATCTAAACCCTACAGAGCTGGTTTGGGATGAGTTGGATCAAAGAGTCCACTGTTCTTGTGGAAACTCCTTCAGGACTATTGCAGAAGTATTATAGGTGGCAACATCTGGAAGCTGTCTGAAAGATTGCCAAGGGTCTACAAGTAAGTGTGTACAGAATTTTGACTGGGTCTGTCCAAATGGTGGTAATAGGGACAGCTATCCCCACTATCGAATGTGCCATGCTGGGATGTTTGATCCGTGGGCATCGAGGCGACATACTCAGTTTCACAAGCGCGTTCCTCTTCTCCCCCTGCTCCACATAGGCAAAGTTCACCTCCCAGCTTTTCAGGCCTTCCTTCTGTTCACAGCGTTTGTTCCCACAGAAGAACTGGCCTGCAACAAGGATAGGGTTAACTCCGCTGGCGGGGAACCCAAACGGCCTGACAATCGGCACTTTGATACGTGAGCTGTCTCACGTTGTTTTGAAACCTAGCAGAGTTCCAAAGAGGCCACACAGGCAGTGCTCAAACAGTACATGCATCAGTCAAAAACAGTCAGAAAAAAAAACTGCAAAATGACATATTGTGTGTTGACAAGCCAACCACTGCTCAGCAAAGAGGAGGAGTGGTCATACATGGAAGCCAAAAAACAGGGCTAGACGGACAGGAAATTCTGAAGAATGGTGTTACTAAGCACAGTTCAGGGCACACAGTATGACAGGATTCTAAGAAGGAATGAAACCATTAGGAGGTAAAGGGTGACCCTACTCCATATTGTGTCATTCATGTCACTCTAACGTGTGGGTGTTTCCTATATTTTTTCCCTGTTTATATTGTAACTTTTCCTACATTAAATAAGCAGCATCACATAAAAACTTGATTGAATCTGTCTAATATGGACTAGTTACAGCGCTATGTGGAGAAGTAGAAATACTCTGTACATTAGCATTAGCAGGAAGACATTAGCAAGAAGGTCATGGTGAAGGTCCCTTTGTGGGTGAACACGGCAGAGAATGCTAATGCTAACATTATCGCAATCGGGGCTGTCGTGCCGGACCCCGCTCGGGCGGGATGGGGAGCTCCCCGAAGTGGCGCCAGCCGTACCTTGGTTCTACTTTTGTGCTAATTCTCTGCCGATCCTTAACCCGCCTATCGACGGGTTTAGCTACAGCAGGTTTACGGGGACATCCTCCAGATTGCCGAGGCTGGAGGCCCAGAACAGTGGGGGGGGGAGTAAGTGCGTCATGAGCAGTTTCCCTCTGCCAGGGTTTCCCCCACCCACTGTGCCGCGGCGTGAGAACCCCCAGGCCCCCGCCACTATTTTCACGTGCAGAATTGCTTCGGGCAGGCTGACAAGTGGCCCTATTCACTTTCCCTGACAACAGAGAATGTCCCTGCTGCTGACCGCTGCTGGAGGGGGTAGCCTTTACCACAGATGCCAGCCACATCTGCACAATCTTCCCTTTGTGCCCCAGGGAAGCACAGCAGTAAGACAAGTGCTGTCTACCCGGGGGAAAATGATCGTCATATTATCAACACTCCAGATTGCAGCGCAACAATCAGTCGGCTGCAACGGTCCGTTGAACTTGAGGAGTTTGTTGATCCAGTGTTGTGACATCGATCATGTGCGCAAAGACAGTATTTGGTATCACTTCTCCCTCAACGATCTGCCTGTCTGCCCAAGATTTCCGCGGCCATTCTTAAAAGTTTATAGTTTTTGCGACCTACTTCTTGGGAATTCGCTTCCAGCGCAAACACCAGTTATCAAACAGCCCTATTTAGCTCTGTTAAATATCTACCAGGAACCGGACATCACGACCTCATGGGGCACCGGTTTATCAGCTGAAGAGATGGAGCGGCATTACCCCACGTGGCGATCTAGGGGTGCTGAGGCACAGGCTCCGGCCAATTATCCCATCTCAGCGGTGACGTATTTCAGCTACAAGCCTAGTCTTGCTGAGCCCCTAACCGTCACGCATCCCCTTCAGTCTGCTCTTGTGGACTACGTTTAATGGAAATGGCTCTCAGTAACTGATGAAATGGGTTAGGGTAAATCTCGGTCGCATCTTAAATCTCAAGAGAACGGTGGAGGGACTCCCAGTGACACATTTTACATTTCAGTAAGTCGAGGCCACGATTCACAGCTTAGAGATTAAGGGCTGAACATGGTGGGAGTGTGGGGGGGCTGAGGCTTCCCTGGAGTCCAGCTTCCTGCGGATCACGACTGTATGAAAACAGTGTCATGTCACGGTTCACGGTCACGGATTCGGCACTCGCTAGCGGTCAGCCGGCAGCTGGGCCCCACGGGGGAGATGCGAGGGACAGGTGAGAGTTTTGGGCCGCAACCAAAGCACCCTCCCCCTGTGCCGACGGCCAGGGCTAAGCCGGGAAAGCGAGGCCCTGGAAAGGCAGTCCGACAGATGGCACGCGGATGTCGGCGCTAAGCCCGGAGCGGGGAGTAGCGTCTGGGGAAGCCAGGCGAGCAGGAGCACTGAGGCCCGTTCGGCGTTACAAGGAGTGCTGTGAGAGGCGTGGCTGTCCACCGCTGAAGGGATTTCCACTAGCTAACCATGCTTAATCTGCTCGGCCCTTTGCGCCACTCAGCAGGGGTATAGCTAGCCCTGGTGAGAGAGGGCACTCGCTATTGGCCTGAGAGGGGGGAGGGGCAGCACACAAATAATAAGCTAGCACGTCTTCACGTAAATACAGCTATTTCATCGGAAAGTCTGTTCCTGGCGATACGTGTAATCCTTCCCATTGGTATTTGTTATTTTTCTCACATTATAACAGAAGTTTTGCATATAATGCATATACTCTTCTCTTTGACGGTTCCATTCTTGTACCAACTTCAGTTTTATTGACGTAAAACTACGTTCAGATGATATGTTTTAATCTAATAGGGCCATGCCTGGACCTTATAGAAAGGACACCCCAAAAATGCACAAATTGAAATCAGAACACATTCATTTCACAGACATAGGAAGCTAATGCCAGCAAAATATATACTAATCCTGGTGGGGCACAGATAATCAGCCCTAAGTAAAATTCTGCCAACACTTAGTTACTAAATATTCAAACGCGTGAGATGGACTGAATGTCCTGATTGCGCTTGTAACACTTTCTGTGTTCCTGTTTTGCATTTAGAGATGAGATGAGTTCCTGCCCAGAAGCATCAGCAGGCAGTGATCTGTGGCCACGACACCACAGTAAGCAGGAAGGCTGGTCCATACTTAACACGCCATAAATATTCGTTATGGAGTGACCTGCAGAGCGCTTCCACTGTGTGCCCTTTGTCAGGGTTAGGGTCACTTCTGGGTCCAAGCCCGGCTTCAGTTTACTATATTATATTATTTGATCTACTAAAAAAGTCAATTTTTTTAGCTATCAATAAAATATTGAGTTCATTTGTAATTTTCAGTGGCATGGAAAAACACTATATACATACTTGCAGCTGAATTTACAGCCTAGATTTTCTTTAAATGTCAATACTAATCCTATGAAAGGTATGGTCTTTTTTTCGGAAACCACAGAATTGTGTCCGGGGTAATACTGCCATCTAGTGGATGGAGCATTTTGAGGTAAATTTCCGCGGTAACATTGCCAAGGCTCTCACGGGTCTTGTGTTTCATAACTGCGGCTGTTCACCATGTTTACACTGCATTAATATCATACTAATTAATGCACACTAATATTTATGGCTTAGTGTAGTGAAGTAAAACCAATCTGCAAAATCAGTTATGTAAAATTATAAAAACAAAACTTATTTTCATAATTATGTTATTATTTTTCTTTACAGATGACTACAAAAAGGCCAGCCCGCTCAACGCCTCTCTGTAACTACGGTTTGCCATGTAAGATACATCTAAATTTATCCTGTACTCCACATGACCGCTCATATGAATGCTTGTTCAGCAAAAAAGATACTAATGGCTTTTTGGACAACTGCGAAATGCACGTCCCAGATGAAAGGGAAACAGCATTCGTAACACCAGAGCTTGTGTTTCCTCCTGAAGATCATTAGTACCTTAAACGTTTAGCGCCCCATAACATCCTTATTCTAAATTTCATGAAAAAACTGTGCAACTGAGAAATGTTGTCACTGACTTGTTATACATCAAATTAAAACATAAGGAACCCTGATTAACAGGACACCTTTGTTCTACCACAGTAAGGCATAGTACATAAGATCATAAGATTCTGGTGGGGTGGTTGGGTGGGATTACATCACATTTAAATCATTGCCAGGCAAAGTATTATAATAGGCATCTTTCCTTTCAGGTGAGTAAATTATTCATTTATTTCATTTAATTTAGACAGATATTTCAAATGAACAAAGATCTAAACATTTTGTTTCAGTTATAGCACAAATAACCATTGTGGGTCACAATGGTGATTTTTCACCTGTAAAAGTAACTATCACAGTGCTGAAATGTCTGATAAACATTTTACATTAACCATAAAATTTGAGGATATTTACACGAGCCCCATATTTCAAAATGAGAGGGTCTGGGGCGGTACAGACCCCAACTCAATCAAAAGGAACTTCCTGATAAGGAAATTCTACGCCGTCCTAGATTACTGTGACCCCTACCGGCAAGTCCCCGCAAGGAGTCAATGGACTCTGATGCTGCATACTGAGAAAACACAAAGGAAACTCAATGAAACCGGTCTTTACCTTTTCCTGAGACGACTTCGTTTTCCGTCCTCCACCGGAAGCCAAACTGGCAGGAGAAACAGATACACGCCTTTTATCTCACACAAATGACAAAAAGAAAAACATTTAATGCCGATCCAAAACAAAGCTTATTACTGCTATACAGTCAGCATTCCAAGACACCCACTTTAGACCAAGAAAAGAAATAAGAAAAAAATAAGAATTTCTACTGGTATTTATTTTGAAATGGACTGTAACTGGACTACATATTCTGCAAATACAGTTATCCATCGACTTACGTGTTCCGGTTACGGTTTCATTCTGTAAGTGAGGCTGTAAGTCAATCTACACATACACTATATGGCCAGAAGTATGTAGACGCCCCAATTAATCAGAGAACATAAGAACATAAGAAATTTACAAACGAGAGGAGGCCATTCGGCCCATCCAGCTCGTTTGGGGAGAACTTAACTAATAGCTCAGAGTTGTTAAAATCTTATCTAGCACTTTGAATTTCCTATTCAATCCAAACACACTGCTGACACAGATGAGTAATTAAGCACACGGTCATGCAATCAATCTGCAGATACGTGGCTATTGTACAGGATAGGTTAGCGACCGTCCACTTGGCATCATCAGAGGACACCGTCTTTCCAACAAGTCAGTTTGCCACATTTCTGCCCTGCTAGATCTATCCAGGTGAAACACAAGTGAAGTGATCGTGAAGGAAAAAACATCTCAGAGCAATTTGTGAAGCGGTCTGCCACACAAGCTCACAAAAAGGGACCTGATCAACCAACATCGATGCCCAAACTGAATGGCAGCAAAACCAGAAATGTTCCCACACACAATGGAAATCTTTGCCAGAAAAGTAGAGGCTATTTAACCAACAATGAACTGACCAACTTCATATTGATATCCCTGGTTTCGTAATGAGATGCTGGACAAGCTGGTGTCCACATGCTTTTGGCCATATAGTGTATCTCCATTTTTATAGGCAAGATGTCAATTATCTCTCAATAAATTGTATTAAGGCTCTTATGGGACATAAGTAAAATCGGACGTCTCTCAATAGGACACAGGTTGACGGATGACTGATGAACGCATTAACAGTCACAAATACAGCAATAGCCCATCTATCCTCCATCAAGCAGCTTATCCAAGTTCTAGAGGCACCTGGAGCCAATCCCAGGCACTATAGGGCACGAGGCTGGGGTACACCCTGGTTGGAATTCCAGTCCTTGGCAGGACACAGACTCACACACTATGGGGGATTTAGGGACACCAATTAGCCCAACTACAGGTCTTTAGACTTCAGGAGGAAAGCAGAGTATCTGGAGGAAACCCACTCAACATGGGAATTACATGGGAATTACATGTAAAGGCCACACAGGATTCGTATCCCCAATCCTGGAGGTCTGATGCAGCAGTCTCTCCTTCAATATTACAAAAAAGCTGGTGTAAAATGCATTAAAAATGTACATTTCTACATGCTTAACAAGGTAAAGAATTTTTAAAAAATGTCAGTGTTGAATGATTCAAAAGGGGAGTTTTTTAAGGCGACTGCATGCCCACCTTGTTTTCCTTGTATCTGCTAAGGTCAGATATACAGTACTCCTTAAACAGCTTATCGTAGTACTTTTTTGCCAGATCTTTCTCCCTGAAGAGAAAAAAGAAAATAACACTTTAGTCATAAAGGAAGAACAAGAACATAGGAACAGAAAAGTAAAAGCAGATATTAATCCATTTATCCATCCATCCTGGACAGGGTCACAGGGGGTGTGGGTCCTATTTTAGGCAATATTTATGCATTTATAATCTCCTATTTACATCCTGGAATGGGTGACTAGTCCAAAAACTCTGTTTTGCACATTGCCAATAATCTTTGAAGAAAGAAAGTGGTAATGGGCTTTCAGAATGAAAATCTATTTTAAGCAGAACATTCGGGTAATTTTACTGATACAGACAGAAATGCTGGAGTATGGAGTATCTGAAACACACAGGAGGCAGGATGGCCTGCAGCAGCAGTATGTAAATACTGCACAGTAAGCAGGACTCCAGGGAGTGCAGTACTCAGTAAGCAGGACTCTGACGAGTGCAGTACTCAGTAAGCAGGACTCTGACGAGTGCAATACTCAGTAAGCAGGACTCTGATGAGTGCAGTACTCAGTAAGCAGGACTCTGACGAGGGCAGTACTCAGTAAGCAGGACTCTGACGAGTGCAGTACTCAGTAAGCAGGACTCTGACGAGGGCAGTACTCAGTAAGCAGGAGTGTACTACATAGGCGAAGCAGAGGCTGGAAAGCCTGACTAAGCAGTGAGACATGGCTCCCCAGCCAACCTCCGGCCTAGAGTGTCATGTCCGTTTTGCCGCCTGGGCTTCCAGTGCTGCCTTACCATGTCATGTCCTCGTGGTCTTCTTCCCTCCAGAGAAATCGATGGTTCTCTCTGACGACATCGAAGTCTGTCTTGTCATTGACCCTAAAATACAACAGCGCAACATAATATTCATTTATGAGTTTCTTTTTTTAATCAATCAATAACGTTGCCTATTTTTACAAGCAGCTGAGGGCAGACAGAGCTACGCAAATAGGCTCGTTCCGTTCCCTCGTCACATCAGAATCTGTTTGTTGGGCACAAATCCAGTTCCTTAAGAGTTACACCTCATGCAGAGATTTCACTGAAAGTTCTTCAAACTTACATTGCATAATTAATATGAGTCTAAGCTGTGCTCGTTCTCAGCAAAGGGGATATTTAGTACAGGGAGTCCAATCGTCTCCATTTCATTATTCTAAGAAATATCTATATCTGAGACGGACTCTGTGTGACTAAATGTTGATCTGAAGCATACTGCAAGGCATGGACAAAATCAGTCCTTATTCTCCTTAATCTTGTCAAGATCAATTTAAAACATGCTGGGTTTTCCTCCCTGACAATATAATGACTTGAACAAGTGACCCATCTTGTAAATGCTTATGCAGCACAGGGGTTGGGGGGGGGGCTTCTTTCCCAGACAGCATGGGGCACAAGATAAGGGTACCCCCCTAAACAGGGTACCCCCCTAAACAGGACAAACACACACATACATACACAGGACAGTATGGAGTGTATGGTTGAAGTCTACACATTTCACATGACTGCTGCTTATTTTGACCAATCCACTTCTGTTTCCTAAAGCAAAATTTATTTCATAGGACTTTTTGTACCCATCATTGTGAGATAAAGATTTTAACAGGATGTTCTCAGAAAGTAGATGTATTTGGGGCACTGCCCTGTACTAAGTAGTTATAGAAGATTTCTGGATGGATGGATGAATGTATGGATAGATGGATGGTTCTCATAAAAGATCAGCACTGTAGTCATACTTGGGGTTCAGCCCTGTACTGTATAAATTGTTTTAAATGATGGGGATGGATGGATGGATGGATGGATGGATACTCAGGGGCATAACAACAACTCATGAGTCACATTCTAACTTATGTATACATCAATGGCAACACACCATTAATAATGACAGGAGATTACAGAGCTTAACTTACACAGAGCGCTTGAAGTCCGTCATCTTGCCACCATAATACATTATATAGTCACCGACAAACTTCTTGTGTCTCTCAAACTAGTGTCTCTTAAATCAAGGAGAACACAGAACGCAGCACTTGGAGAAGATCCCAAAGCTGCCAAAACATACGCCCACGCGGAGATAAAGAGCTGCACACCAGACACCTGACTGGCAGGTAATAAACCCCCCCGCTTAGAAGCTGTTTACTTCTCCAGAATCTCTTCCCTCAGCGTGACTGTTTAGCCTGTCTTTCCTCTGACATTATCTCACAGTAATAAAAACAGGTCTCCATTTATCGGCTTCGCATAACTAAAAAAGGCTTTTTCAAGCATCGCAGGCAGGACAATGTACCTGAGTAGTGTGTGCTGGCACAGATGAGCACTTAAAGTAAACAGCACTTTGGTTTCTCAAGGGAGAGGAATTACATAATGTTAATGTATCATAACCTCTCCGGCGTTAGCGGAGGCCCAACTTACATCCTTCGCTGTTGCGAGAAATTTATGTCAAGACTTGTCTCTCGTTTTCATTTACATAGATCTGAGGCAGCCCTAAGCTTACAGGGTGTAGCCTCAAATTGGACAAAAAAAATACAGAAAAAAATATTTGGTGGTGGAGGATACGGCATTCATCGAAATCAGGTGATGGCGTCTGTTCCTGGCTTCCTCCCTGCCAAAAGAACACAGGTCGAGTCAGGCATTGATCAGGGTCCCGACTGCGCCCCCCAATCCCCAAAACTCTTGTACCTGTCCCATTCTTCAGCAGCCAAGCTCTTGTGGGCCACCTTTGTGTGCTTGCCCTGCTGGAACGGCTTCTGCAGCAACTCATCGTGTCTCCTGTCATCAAATAGACACAGCGGGATGAACTTAACCGAACACAGTTGACCCTTTGGCACTCAACGACCGGACTGTGAACGTAGATCTATCTTGCGGTTACACTAACGTAGGTAATGGGCCCAGAAGTTTGGTTCCACCCATTCCATCAACCCAGATAATCTACAGTAATGCTCCGAGCGATGAGGGATCTGCTTGGAATGACACCCTATTATAGCCATCGTATACACCAGTGCTTAATGCATTACACTGCGTACCAATTCCACAGTACTGACTGTGTTCGGACTGCTCCTTGTGCAGACCTGCCACTACAGAGAGCCATGAGATTAAAAGTCTCTGTTTACTGCCTGCAAAGTCATTTTCTGCTTTTTGTTTTTTGGACGCAACACTGTAACATTGAGTAAGAAAACGGCATTATCCAGAGCGTTTCCATGAGAGATGAGTCAGAAGCGGACTAAGCCAAGTAAAACACACATCTCTGTGGGAACTGTGGGGGGAAACAGCAGATCACCTTTCATTAAAAAGTCCCCAGACTGCTCCTAAGAAAAACTGCGCAACACACGCGCATCTTTTTCCGGAATTTCGTTCTCAGATACTCAAACAGAAACTGACGTGCCCAAGAGCTATAAAGGATTCTGAGTTGAAGTGATGATGTCACGCCCAAAACTCACCGTTTCTTTCCATGTTGGGATGTCCCTCCCGTGTTCTCGTCATCGCTGAAATCGGAGTCATACCCTCCTCCCCCATGCACCTGAAAGAAATCGCCGTTACTAACATGCGGTCTCTGGTGTAGCAGCTGCTTTATGTGTCAGGGAAACAACCGTGTGAAAATATGCTCCCTTGAAAAGTGTGAGACACAGAGGGTCATTTGCCAGCAGCGTCCTGCTTTAGATCTATATATGGTCAGCCGGTGGTAGAATTATTTCACATTTCATAACGGGAGCTAATCCTTTACCCTTAAGCTGGGTTTTTAATTATAACAGGAAAGATGTAGTGATAGACAACATTTAAATTCATCTTAGACAGGATTCAAATATTACTAAAGCAATTTGTGGTCAAAAGTTGTTAGATCAGATTAATCAAAATCACACAATGTATCTGAGCAGTAACAATATTGCGCAGTAACAATAAAGATCTGATGTATTAATCAAAGAACTGGAACGACACAAGGGCCAGCCTACATGCTATTATTTTGTGTTTGACAGTATTGTGGAAATTTTAATGAATGAAAGAGGTCAATGTGGGCCTGTTCAGTCATCTGCAGAGGTGATTCACAGAGTAGTCAGCTATTTAGTCAGCACTCTGGCAAAGCAATGGAAATGCAACACCATGGCCAGGGGGCCAGAGGGACACACGAGGACCTGAAGGTCTGAAGGTCAGAGCAGCACAGAGCTCTGGAATCCTGACTCTGTATATGACCTTTCTGCAGCACTACAGCATAGGCTGCAGATGCACTTTCCAAAAGAAAAAATAATAGTAAAAAATATATGCAGCACTTTCATTCAAACCTCTAGCTCATTGAAAACTTGTTGAATATTTTCTTAAAGGACGTATGCTTTCTTAGTGCTTTTTGCTATATTTTAGCCATTGATTTTAAAGTCTCGAGAATGACCATATGGTCCAATCATATTTCATATATATGTAGCACTGTATACCAACTGATCTATTGATCCATACCAATCATTCTCATGAACGAGACTAAAATGATGAGGTTTGGATGTTTTTTCTTCTCTGTTACAGTCATTAACACAAACCAAATAGATGAATTCAATTGTGACTGAATGAAAATTCTGCAAATCTTATACAAAATACAGGATTCATGTTATTATACACAAGCCCATCATTATGTGAAGTTTCAGACTCACAGTACAATAGAACATACGTAAACTTATTGTCACTGAAAAAGAGATGCTCCAATACAACCATACATTAATGTACATGTTAGCCATAAAATGTATTACACTGATATTATTCAAGCCTCTGGAATTGTTCAATATGCAGATTCAGCTTAACTGTATAAACAATACATTTCTATTTAGTTCTATTTTAAAAGCTTCAATAAAAAATACCTACAGTACTGGCCTTAATTACACAGCATAATAATATGAGCTAATCTAAACTAATGATTTCTTATATAATGGCGGAAACGGACACTACACAAAACGACAGATCTCCTGTTTCCATCTTGATTCTACTTGATTGCTTAAAATAGACTGCTGTAGGTGCAAAGTCAGGCAACTGCATCACTTCCGTGGCCTCAAATGTCTAACAGGGAGCAAGTTATATTACATACTCAACCACGTCCTTTTTCTATCATGGAAATTTACAGCCACAGAAGTTGTCACTGGACCAAATATATACAACTGACACCATACGAGAAAAGCTTTTATCACGTTCCAGCAGATTAAATAATGCATACAGACATAACTAGACAAATGAAAATAGAACAGAATAGAATAGATATTTTATTCATCCCGTGGCGGTCTTTTCGCTTATCCCATCTTGCTTTCTGTGTCACAAACAGACAGATATACAGGTCTGAGTGAAGCTTGGGGTCACAGCGCAGGGTCGGCTGGCGTCCGGCGCCACTTGCTCGGGGGCTCAATGATGGCATCACCGTTAGCACAGAATCCTAACCCGCTATGCCACACACCACCGTATAAGATTCACTATGTATTTATATTGTCGCCATAAAGCTATAATATATCGCCTTTCAAATGGTTTTATTCCAAGACGACTGACATTTTACAAAGAACAATATTTTTCAAAGAACAGAACTGCAACATATTTTGCTAATGTTATACAAAAAACAAGTCAACAACAACACGAGTGCTTAGTCGTGTTCAATAAGAAAACAATAATATTCTTACTAATTTATAAACAGAGATGAACAAGGGAAGAAATTATGTGGCTTAATGACTTGAACTAATCAGTTAGGTGCCTTCGTACTGCGTTTATGAGAATTTGCTACATATTTCCCAGTGCTCGGTGCTAATATTCGAAATTACTGTCATTTTGCTCCATATAATGAATCCAAAACCGCAAACAATGAGGGGAAACTACCTTGACAAGATTGAGATCACTCGCATCCATGATCTCTCGCATCGATGGGGATCCTTGTTTTCATGAAAAATAGCGGCGCGTCTTTATGACGTCACTACGCCAAACGGACCAATACAACCACAACCTGACCCAGGATCAGTTATTGCTCTTTGCACAAAATCATCCAGCTCTGAACAACAGCTGAATAATCTGATTTATTATCAGTTGTTTTCAGCAGACACTATTATTAGCTTTTAATTAAGCGACCCTCAGAATTCACTCATTTTATAACGCTGCCGAGCAGACAAATAGTACGTCGGCATAGGCGTCTGTATTTTATGAATATGTGAATATAGCAATAAATATTACAATATAATTATATAATGATGATCATATATCGTTTCACTGTTAGCATAATCGACGCACTGGTCGAATAAATGTGTTTGCACATTATTTTACATTGTCATTTAAATTACGTTTTTATTTACATAACGTTTTATTGGATTGATTGAACGCAGTACATTACATTCAATCCAGGTCTATAGTAGCAAATACTATATATTAAAATATATTTATTTAGGCTATATCAATATTCCAAGACTCCCAAGTCTAGTTTGACAACAATACTGTACGCTGTGTAACTCCGCCTTCCACAACGTACAGCCACACTTGCTAGCAGTTTTAGATATGGACTACTGCTTTCCTTTTCATCTTTAAATGAATTGCATGTTAGATTAAGAGGTCACTATTATTCAGCCAAGACAAGTGAGCAATTATCCAACAAATATTTATCCCATAAACTGTGCCAGACAAAAAAATATGCAGCATTGCATAGATTCCTTCTTTTTAGCCAAAGTCGAACAACAGGTTACTTATTCTGTTAAGTACTGTAACTGAACTGGCGTTCATTCAAAAGAAAAGAAGAATTCTCTGGCAATCATTCAAAACTGAAAGAACTTCACTGTTTTTCAAATTTTGGTCACTAAAAGCTATCCGGTAAATACAAAACACGCATCGTTAAATGGAATGTACATCTCCTTTATTTTTAAGGGACCATGGGCAGGTTGCATCCTGAAATAATAGATGACAATGAAAATTCACCTTCTAAAATCAGAATAAGTGACAATTTCAAAAGTCATATATAAAATATATGTCTATGTATATCTAAGTATACTACGAATTATTGAATTAATTAATTAATTATATAATATATAATTTATTATATACACACACACACACATATACTGTATATATATATATATATATATACACACACACACACACATGCATCATATATGCATACGTGTGTATTTGTGTGTGCGTGTGTGTGTGTGTGTGTGTGTGTGTCTCAGCCTGAGGAGATAGGGGTGATGCGTCATTATTGTTTGACACCACGACTCATAGATATATAAGCAGTCTACATCCGTTTCATTCGTAGTTATTCCCATATAAATGAAAACCTCTTGGATAGCAGTGATGCGAGATCCTCTCTAAGGAATATACACGAATCCATGTTTTTTGTCTAGCCAATAGCTGCGCGGATCATTATTTGAAAACGAGGAGGACTGTGAATATGTCACATTGGACGTAATTCGACATGAAATATTGTATTCTATTGATTAATTGATCAATCCGATGAAAATCAAAGAAATCAAACGCGTGTGCACTTCCAATTTCGGCTGCTGACCTACCTACACAGATAAGCCTTTATTCTCATCCAATGTGGTATTTGCTGTGGCCGCTGTTACAGGTTTTTTGAATACTGTTCTGTTTAGGTTTTGCGGATTGCCCGTCTCTGCGCCGCATTTGCAACACAACGACTCCCAGGACGAATTGCTTGGATTAACGCCTGCTAACCGAGGCTTTCAGTTCAGCTGAATTCATTATACGGCAGCGTCAGAAGCAAAGATACAAAAACAAAAAAGCAGGGTGCTGGTTTGGCATCAAAAAAATAAAATAACTGAAATAAATATTCGGAGCGGAGAAACCGGTTCATGTGCAGGATTATTCTACGAGCTGGTTACAACCATAGCGGTTCAAAAGGATGGGATATGCTAACAGAAGCTTCAAAAGATACACTTTTTGGCTTTGGATTGCCTCTGTACTGCTTATAGTAGAAACTAAGAGAGCGAAGCAACCCAGATGCCCACCGTCTTGTACATGCACCAAAGATAATGCCCTGTGTGAAAACATTAAATCCGTTCCTCGCAGCTTTCCTTCCGACGTCGTTTCATTGTAAGTTGTCTGAAATGCGCATGTAGCAGCCGCCGCTTTGTATGCAATATTACATGAACGCGTGCGAAAATAAGTATTCGTTATACATATTTTTTCTGTTTTCTTGCATGCTCGTGTTGTATACTGCGAGATTGTTTATATCTGCTTTATTTTCTACTATAACCATTTGATACGTTATTTGAGTACCACTGATGTGAATAACGCAGTTGACTAAACAGTTTTGTTCATAAAATAATGTTGCCTCATGTGAATTGGTACTTTCTTTTTTATAAGATCTTTTGTGAAATCTGGATTCAGCGAAATCCCAGAAGGAAGCTTCGTACACACTCCAGCTCTTCAGCTCCTGTGAGTCATTTTTTATTATTTTAAATGTTTAATTTAGTCTAATTTAGCACATGCTCTGCAGACAGCTAGTTCTCTGTTTTTAACTGATGATCGCCATATTTTAGCGGACAAAGCACGGACTCAGTAACTAGTCCTCCCGACCGTTTTAGACGGCTCTGTATTATCCTGGTTCTTAATGTTAACTCGAATTTGAAAGGGAGTATCTAAAGGTGTTAAAGGTATGCAATGCAGTCTGAAACTGTATATGCTACTTAAAAAAAGCAAAAAACACAGCTTATTTGAATTTCAGAGTACTTCGTTTTATAAGCCTTTCACACTGACCATAACATAATCATTTTATACAGCAACCTACTTAAACGGTCAAATAATAAAAATAATTTAAACAGTTCGATTTTTATCGGTTTACCACAATCACCAGGTAATCGATCTTTCCCAACATAAAACCGAAACCGGTTACAGTATAGAAAATGGCAATAAAAATATGAAAACAGCAATCCAAGGACGCATCTAATTTAGGGACTTCAAAGTGAGCAGTAGATTATGGTGTTGTCAAACAAAGACTGTTACGTTGGAGTTAGGATTTAATGTCTAATCGTGTTCTATCTGTGACTCACAAAAAAATAAATGTATTCTCTTCTGGCATTACGTTTCCATTAGATCAAATCATTCTAGATATTTTTATATTAAAAATAAATCCATGCACTTGGACAAATAAAGAATAACACTTAGAAACTTTGTGCGTGTCAGACAGAACCTTTTCATTCTTTTATATAGATTCTGTTACATGAATTTCAACTTTTCATGAACTGGTCCAGCCTTATTTTTGTCTGGACATAAAGAGGAACATATTACTGGAACCCTAACCAGTGTAGTGAAAATGATCGATTTGGTACATGGATGAATAGATGGGTGAAATATCGTTTGTGGAATGACTAAAAGAATATCAAGAATGTGAGATTGAAGGGGGGAAAGTTGGTCAGCGGTTGGATACATAAAATGTTATTGTTACAAAGCCTCATACATTCACATTGGGCAATGTGGCTCTTTCAAGTTAAAAATATATATTTTTTGACTGGAAAGAGGCCCGCTTAATTATTCACAGCTACCAGGACTGGGTAATATAATCTGATGTCTATAACTAATGAATTGAATACACGAACACAACGCAAAAAGCGGACTGGGGGAGAGTTACTGACCACGCCCATCTTAACCCGTCGGCCTTCCCTCATAGGGCTGTATTTATCATACCTAAGCGCAGGTGCATGCCTTGTGTTACGGTGCATCCCTGTCCTCTAACGCTTGGGAGCCAGTGATTGCATATTTTCAGTCTTTCCGACTACTCAAAAGCGAAACCATTCACTGGGTTAATGTAAATATTTAGCCTTCTTTATTAACCTCCTTAGAAAGAGATGTAAAATCTATCTGACAGGGATTTAGAAACGCCGTCATAGACTTGGATTTTATTGCACTTGGTATAGGATTAAAGTCCACTATGAACAACGCCCTCGGGCAGCATATTCTTATTAGTGCATTTTGCATGGTTTTTATTTGGTATTTCTTACACGCCCTGTATGAAGGAATATGGCAGTTTACCATGGACGTGATTGATTCAGCGTTACGCCGGGTTAGTGACTGCAGCAGTGTTACACTCCGCATATTCCGCTAGGTGGAGCCATCAGATGAGTAAGTCTTTGGCCATTTATGCGCAGAATCGCAATCTATTAATCGCTGATTTTTGGATGAGGCAGTCTGCATGTCTTATCCTCTGCTTTAACGACTTCCAAAGAAGTATGATTACAGGATGATATCTAAATAAATAAATTAGTGGAAAAAAATAACATTAGCGTAAACATAAAGACACATTAGAAATGTACAGAAACATTATGAGATCCTACTAGGAAAACTGTTCGGGCAGTTAATCTAAATGGATTGTGTTGCATTTATGGCATATAACCTCATCTGGTTTTCAAACACCTTTTGTTTGAAAACTAAAAATCTGCTAGTGACCAGAAGCATCGCCATTTCCTGACATGTTCATTCAGAAACTTGTGCTTTATCGGCGGTCAACAGAGCGATCACGTATTTGTATTGAGATGATTCATTCGTTTTCATTCACTGTGGAATTAATACAGTTTTTTTCTTACACTATGCAACTTTTTTTTCATCGTTGTGAGGACTATGAATATGACAACATGCACATTTGCATTTCTTGCACTTTTAGTATTATTAACAACATTTACATAAATTGGCCAAAAACCATAGGATAGAATTTGGTGTAGATTTGCATGTAATTTGTGTGGAATAGAAGGCAAACCTGTAGAAAATATCAGTGTTATTCAATACTATTTTTCTTCTGTTATAGATTGTTCACAGCCAACTCCTTCGATTCTATAAACGAAGATGCTTTCCTTGGCTTGCCCCATCTGGAATACTTGTGAGTGAACCGGCACTTCAGATTAAAAAGCAGCATGTTAAAAATGTGTTTCATCAACTTAACTGATGTTATTTTCTCCCAGGTTTATTGAAAACAACAAAATCAAATCCATATCACCTTTCGCTTTCAGGGGACTAAAGTCCTTAATACATTTGTAAGTATTTGATTTTCTTTCATTTTCAGTGTTAATATTTGTAACATTGCTATGGTGTAAATTGGCCCAGGACATATACTTTAAAGATCACAGCTGTTGTGAATATTCATTATGCATTTATAACCTTTTTTGGTTTCTTTGATGTGTTACTTTGCAGTTCAACCTTCCATATGAATACCTGTTTATTATTCTGAAATTTATATTTGCATATGTTAACAGCAACCTCAAAACTGATTTGTAGAAAGGAGTGTCAGTATTTATTATTAACAAATTGAGACATGGACCACAAAATGGAGAAATTCACCAGTGACGTGATAACAAAAAAACATCAGATGAGTCACTGGAGTCTTATGGAAGGTCTTCCCCACTGCATATCTTCCAGCTGACGGGCAACTGACAACTATCTCCTTTGTGTCTGCAGATTGGGCAACCCATTGAAATTTGCTTTCGCTCCAAGAATTTCGTTCTGCCTTCCTCTTTCTTCTCTTCTCTATTCGTTACTGTCGCTCGCGCATTGTCCCCACGAAAAGGCACCAGTGTGTCTGCCTTGCGTTTGTGTGCGGCAGAGCTGGGGGCACTAATGTTGACATGTGAGGCATTCTCAGCTGCTGCTGCTGAATGGGGGGACGCGCGTTAGCTCTGTTACACAACACGAGCACAGCTTGCGCCCGCTAGTCCCGACAGAAGGCGCCGTCAGAGCTGATATGGCTTAAATTAACACGCCGTTCTCTGAGGCCAAAAAAGCCTTACGGAGCAGACAGCCAATCAGAGACGGGGACCTCCCATTGAGACTAAGTGCTGTGTGCACCTCTCGGTAAACACAATGACGTCAGGGCATTATTAAAGGTTCCCGTTTTCGAGCAAACGCCGAACGCCCGCCGCACTCAGTGTCTGCAGTGCCGTTGGTCTGCCGGAGCGTGGCGGTGCCTCTTAGCAGCATTTGCGTCGATGTCTGTCAGTCTTCAGACACTGGCTGCCATTTTTAGACATTTTGCATCTACAAGGGCATTGTCTCCTCTGCAGAAGCGTTGTTGCTACAAAAAGCGTCGGCCTATCGACTGCTGGGATTCGGATTCATTCTCTGCTTTTCTGGGATGACTGCATGTTTTTAAATGCGAATCCCTGGAAGAGTGTTACAACATAACAAGCGAATGACCTTCACATTGGCTAATATATCAAACATATAATAGGTGTTTATTTTAGGAGTTTGATATATGTTATTGTACTCAGTATTATTGCCCTTTATCCTTTGCATTCAGAAGCTGACCTTTTCACTGATTAAATAGCTTTGTCAAGAAATGTTTTAGCTTCATACTTTCGATTCAAGGTCAGTCTAGTTACTCATTATCTATGCTCTGAAGTTTGGTTGTTTCAACTGTTTTACATCTGTAAGCCACTTTTCTCGTTTCTAGAAGAGAAAGCAGTACAATTTAAATAGTTCTTAGGGGAAAAAAAACTTCTTTTGCAAACTATTCTGGCTTGGGGACATCTGGGTATCCCCCAGAAGGAGATAGAAATTTGTAGACTTGGAACAAGAGCTCTAGTCTGACCTGCTTGGTATGCTACAGCCATAACCCTCAAAGTGGGTGGGTGGATGGATGGATGGATGGATGGATGGAAATGATCCTGGGCTCTTCAAAATATATTTTAAAATGTGCCACGTGTATGGAAGTTCTCTCTGTTTTTGAGATTTCTGAGAGTAATCCTTCCCTACGTTCAAAGTTCAGGGAAATAACATCTTTAAAATGTCCCTTTTTCGGTTGGAGCGCCTTGTGATGGACTGGAGTTCCATCCAGGGAGTGTGCTTTGGTTCCTAGGATAGACTCCAGACTCTGTGATCCCGCATTTGATAGATGATTATGGAAAATGAACGGATTAAAAAAAAAAAAAAACATGCATTCGTAATCGTTCATTACAGACAATTTCCATTCGTCTGAATGGATGAATTACTTCTTTTGGCTTTGACTGTTTTTGGACAACAGTTGCGTTATTTCATAATGGAGGAGCACCAGTTTATGAAATGATTTATGTGATCCATAAACACAGTAAGGAACACTAAAGCTGAAGAGGCAAAATATAAAAATACACACGCTATTGCCGTGATGTGTCTCAGTGTAGGAACGACAGTGCTGGCTGATGGCCACCAGGTGTCAGGCCGAAATCGAAATGTTCACACTGAAATATGTTCTCCGGGGAGTGCTCCAGTACTGTTAGTATTCATAGGATTTGGGGCATGTCTGTATGAACTCAGATTGTTTGTTTGCATTCTGTTACTAAGCAGTGATTTATATTACTTTTTTTGTACATATAAATCACTGTAAAATCAACCAGTCTTCGAAGCTAAGTTCCCATTACAAAAAATACAGTGTGGTGTGGCAATATTATCGTGCCCAGGAAATGAATAGGACGTCTCATACCAAATATACACTAATAATGAATCTCCTGCTGTTATTAGGAGCTTGGCCTACAACAACCTACAGACTTTGCCCAGAGATGTTTTCAAGGGAATGGAAGCTTTAACAAAAGTGTAGGTATTTTTAAATTCTTTATTGATCATATGAACTAGGCGTAAGGGTTTTTTGCTGACCTTTCACCATATTTCATATCTCATTTTATCCTAACATTCTGGTTCATAACATTCATTTCCTTCCTAGGGACTGGACTTGTGAACATGCTTATCAAAACTGTGTTTATATATATATATATGTGTGTGTGTGCATATATTTTTGTGTGTTTGTGTGTTTATGTATTTTTCTATATAATTTTTTTCCACACAGTGATCTTCGGGGCAACACCTTCAACTGTGACTGTAAACTCAAATGGCTGGTGGAATGGATTTACCACACAAACGCTACCGTGGACCAGATCTATTGTGCCAGTCCTCCACTCTACCAGGGCAAAAAAATAAACGATCTAGCGCCGCAGTCATTTGACTGCATAACAGCAGGTGATTTGCATGATGACTTTTGCTTTTTATCATAATTGTCAGGTCAGCTCTGTGTCACCTACGGAAATGCTAGAAATGCTTAGAGCTGATGTGCAAACTATATTTCTTCATGCATTCAGGGATGGAAAGTAAGCTTGACCTGAAGCGAGCAATTTTTATGAAAATTTTTTTTTTTCTAAACCTGATTCTGTCTTTTCTTGTCTTTCAGAATTTGCTGCTTATCAGTCTCTTAAATTTGAGTCAATTTCAGTGGAATCGTTTTCTCTTGCCAGTGACCAGTATGTCGTTTTTGCCCAGCCTTTTACTGGAAAATGTAGCTTTCTGGAGTGGGATCATGTTGAAATGGTGTTCCGAAATTACGATAACATCGAAAGTGAGTATGGGTTTATCAGTTTTGGAGGGAAAAATGGGATAAAACTAGTTAACTATTTCTACCACTAGGTGGAACTGTTTCTCCAGAATTGTTTTTAACAGCAGGAAATACATGGCTAGTTAAATTTAACTGCTTTTGAACTTTGTCATAGTGTAAGTTGTTTTGATGGTGATTTTGGTTGCCTTCATGTTTCCATCAGCAGGTTATATTTTATACATTCTGATGTTCATTGGTTTTTGTAGGCACTTCCACTGTGGTCTGCAAACCTCTGGTGATGAATAACCAGCTGTTTATTATAGTCGCCCAGCTCTTCGGAGGGTCTCACATTTACAAGCGGGACACCTCCGCTAACAAGTTCATCAAGATACAAGATATCGATATTCTGAAAATAAGGAAGCCCAACGACGTGGAGACGTTCCGAATCGACGGCGAGTCCTTCTTCGTCATCGCCGACAGCTCGAAAGCGGGCACGACGACCGTGTATAAGTGGAACGGCAACGGCTTCTATTCCCACCAGTCCCTTCACCCGTGGTACCGCGACACCGACGTGGAGTACCTGGAGATCGCGGGCAAACCCCACCTTATCCTGTCCAGCAGCTCGCAGAGGCCTGTGATTTACCAGTGGAGCAAAAGTCAGAAGCTGTTTGACCGACGCACTGACATTCCCGAGATGGAGGACGTATATGCTGTCAAGCATTTCAAAGTGAAGACCGAGCTCTATATCTGTCTGACTAGATTCATCGGAGACTCCAAAGTCATGAGATGGGACGGTGCCATGTTCACGGAGATTCAAACCATGCCCTCGCGGGGCTCGATGGTGTTCCAGCCTTTTTCGGTCGACAGTTGGCATTACGCCATCCTTGGAAGCGATTATTCCCTAACCCAGGTTTATCGCTACGATCTAAAGAAAGGCCAGTTCGTCCACGTCCAAGAACTCAACATCCAGGCGCCGCGAGCATTCTCCCTCGTGTCCATTGACAACCGTGAGTTTCTGCTGGCTTCCAGTTTTAAAGGGAAAACTCAGATTTATGAGCATCTGATGATTGACTTGAGTAATTGAAAGTTGCAGGCAAGGTGCGGGTTGGAAACAGCGGTAGTTTTAAATTCTTTGGATGGAAATGGACTTCTGGTTGGACTAAGTGCATGATAAAATCCACTAATAATACTTCCAGATGAATCCCTTGCTAGAACTATCCATCTTTTTTGTTATCAACCATTGTAGAGTAGCTTTTGAACCCTTTTTTAAAAAAAAAAAAAACAAAAGCCATTGTTAGCTTATCCTTTGCAACTGTAAGCCGTACGTACCTGTGCAATCACAGCAGTTACAAACGAAATGTACTTTTTAATCTATTTATTAACCTGTTTAGAAGAGAGAAAAACAACCTGCCAAATAAAATGTTTACATTTTTCTGTCTTTACAGTTGTAAGCAAAATAATTTATAAATTAAGCTTTTGTAGATAAAAGAGGGACCATGCCAGTGAGAAATGTTTCATATGGAGTTTTAAAACCACGTTTGTAATTTTAAGAATTGAACACATTGGAATGCAAGCTTAGATTTTGTTGTTGTGTGTTGTTGTTCATGTTGTTGTGTATATGTGGGAGGGGGATCTTACCAAGTTTTATTTTTTTGTTGCTTGTTTGTATTAACTGTATAGTACTAATAAAGAAAATTTAAATGCAGTTTTACTTCCTCCTTTTTTCTTTTTGAAGTGCATATAATTGTAAGCACTGTTATATAATGTCAGCTTTATGGTAGATGTATTCATAAATCAATGTACTATTGAAATATATATGTTACCGTAAGCAATATATAATTAGCTGGAGTATATTTAATGGTATGATTGATACGATGTGTATTTATTTATTTGTTTGCTTATTTATTTGTGTAGTCACGTTATTTTTCTCAGGACAAAGTACTTTTCCATCCCATGCACTTCTGTTAAACTGTATAATAGCATTTAGGGTGTTTTGATCATCGGGGGGAAAAACTAAGTGCTACGTCATAGTTGCCCTACCGGCGTCATACTCTCCCCCTAGCGGTAGACTTAGTTAACACGCCTAGTGACAAAGCTACATGGGTTACTTATTAACGTTAACCCAGGTTCATTGCTCATCGGGGAACCTGCGAAGCAAGATACTTACAGGCCATGCTGACCTGTTGCATGTGAAAAATGGAAGTTGTCAGCAAAGGAACGGCCAGTGCGGATGACGGGGACGGGGTTTTCTCCATCAGTCCCAATGAAGAAGAAGATGTTAGGGTTCAGGTTTCGCACACGGCTGCCGGAGAGGAAGAACTCGCGGCTGAAATAATAATTCTCCCAGACCGCAAGTCCCATGTGTCAAGTGATGGGGATGCAGCACGGGCTTTCCTGGATCACCCAAAATCAGAAGTTAGCTCCGCAAAACTATGCCATCGCTTCAAGTATTGCGGGAACGAAAGTGATCCCGAAGCGGCGGACACAAGAGGAAGTTTAGTCTCGGAAGGTACAGCTGTCACCCCACTTGTTAAAGACACGGCACTACACGAGTGAAACGCGGCTCGATGACACGCCGCCATCGCCCTTTCACTTTAAATAGACGCACTGCCTATGCGCCCGGAAAACTCTCCGGGAGAGATCGCACCGACAAAAACGTTTTAAAAAGAAGGTGGCTGTAATCCAAGCCGGCGACCTTTCTGCTGAAGCGCACGTTATGTAACATTAGAAAGACGAATTATATATCTATGGCTAATTCATTGTGTTCAAGGCGGTTGTTTTTAATGTAAGGAACAAGTTTTTCGGTGCAATATCTTATGAAACTCGAAAGTTCCTGTGTGCTCCTGAACTTTCCGCTCAAGCTTTAAATATTAATAATGATATTAACGTCATCTGTGACTATACCTTGGGATGACTGTGCATTTTCTGGTTTCACTGGGAAGTGTCCATTTGTTATAAGGGTTAATGGTATTATTTATACCAGTTTAACTGCCATGGAAGTCTATCTCTTGAAGATTTGTATAAGTATAATGTATAGTTTTGAAAATGTTATTGGTCTTACGGTTAACAATAATTCAAAATTATATTTATTGTTTTCTAAACAGGGACACTTTTTGCGAACATTACTCGTTGTTCTTCGTTGGCTGGTAGGCTTATAAATATTAGTATTAATACCAAATATTAACGCTGGTATATTTGGCAGCGAAAAAACAACCATGAGATACATGACTAAATAACGAAACTAATCGGCTGTTGTCTGTTCATATGGAATGGCTCGGGGACGTTAACTTAAGCGATTAAAATTCTTCACTGTAAATTTTACCGAGATTAACTCCTGTAATTTTCCCCTCATCTTTTAGCCTGCCGGTAGGTATGCGCTGGATTTGCACACTGAACAATGAAAAAAAAACTGCCTAATAAGAGTTTCATAATCTCAAAACTGACGGAAGTGTGTTGTATTCCAGGCCCCATGTTGAATGAGCTCAGTCCACTTCGAGGTGGAAAATTGGCACAAATTGACACTTTTCAATATGTGCCAGTTTTGGCCTAAGTCATCATGGTCAGAGCCGGCATAGAGTGTGAAATGACCACTATCACCAGCAGGTACTAAATTTGCGCAGTGTGCAGATTTAAAAATATGGGATTAAAAAATTGTAATGACGGACCGTTGTTTGACAAGAGCCTTGGACACAAAACGCTTGTATCTTGAACAGCCTTTAAACATATTACACTACCCACTGAAGTCTTGGATACGAAAAGTAATGAAATTGGACAGACAGACAGACAGAGATAAATTGTAACAAAAGTTTAAACGTGGGTCAAGCTTTTGTCTGCTGCATCAGATGAAAAGTTTTAACTAATTGCTAACATTTAAACACTAGCCAAATGCACAATGAGAAAACAAGTCAGCTGCCAGTTGCTGATGACTGCTCTGCCCTTTTTCCAGCCCCAGGAAAGCGGAGAGGCTGCCCAGGCCTTGGTCTGTTTTACGCTCTGCTGGCGTCCACTTTCTTCTCCATTGTAGCTCTCCTGGTGAAGAAAGTGGAGGGAGTTCATGCTGTGGAAATCAGCGCCATCCGCTGCTTTTTCCAAATGACATTTGTTCTGCCAGCACTGATTTATTATAAGTAAGTTCCAGCACTCTTAATAGCTTTCTGTCATGTTAATTTGTCACTGAGTGGAGAAGATGCAACATTTTTTATTTTTGCTAGAACTAATCTTTTCTAAACTGTTGAAGAAACTATACAGGACTTAAAACATTTTGGGTATGTTATAAATAATTTCTTTCTTTTGTTTTCTCTATTAACATGCTTGCGCAGTGAAATTATGTCTGGCTTATACTGTTTAATGTGGTATAGACTTCATGCGCTGGGTTCTAATCTCGTCCACACAGAACCGGCTTCCTAGGACCAAGAGGACAACGGATCTTCCTGTTTCTGAGAGGGATCCTTGGGTCTAATGCCATGATCCTCTTATATTATGCCGTGCAGCAGATGCCACTAGCTGACGCGACCGTCATCGTCTTCAGCAATCCGGTCTTCACCACCGTGCTGGCCTGGATCTTCCTCAAGGAGAAGTGTACAATCTGGGATTTTGTTTTCACCATTTTTACACTGACGGGGGTCATACTAATCGCCAGACCTCCGTTCCTCTTCGGATCAGATGCTTCCGGAATCGAGGGAGAATACACAAACCACATCAAGGGCACCATTGCAGCCTTTATGTCTGCAGCTGGGGCAGCCTGTACTTTAGTGGTGCTCAGGAAGATGGGTAAAAACGTGCACTATTACCTATCTGTGTGGTATTACGCAGTCATTGGTCTCATCGAATGTCTCATCGCGTTATTCGTCATAGATGAGTGGACTGTACCATTCTGTGGGTGGGACAGGTGGATCCTGATGGCGATAGGAGTCCTCGGAATCGCTGGGCAGACATTTCTCACCAAAGCGCTGCAAATTGAAAAAGCAGGACCCGTTGCCCTGATGAGGACGATAGACGTAGTGCTGGCCTTCTTCTTCCAGTTCACCTTTCTTGGCCGCAGTCCAACGTGGTTGAGCTTGGGCGGCGCACTGTGCGTGATAAGCAGCACTACCGGGGTGGCCGTGAAGAAATGGTACAGCAGCACCAGGAAGCACTGACTGAGCAGCCACTGTGCCCAGTGAGAGACGCCTACACTTAAACACTGTACTCCTTCAGCACTGGAAATATTATTCATAATATTCAGCTTTTATAACTTACACAATTTTCCAAATGTTGGTCAGGGGCACAAGGGCGAGTCTGGTGTCTGGTGTCTGGCTTAGGGCACAAAGCTGGGGCACTCCCTGGACGGGATGCCAGCCCATCACTGGGCATATACTTACGGCCACACTCCTATGCTATGGGCAATTCAGAGACACCAGTTAGCCAAACGGACTTGTACATGGAGGAAACGCACATTTCATCCAGAGGGCATGCAAACTCCACACACACAGAGCAGAAGCAACATGCTTGATTCCATTATATATGTGATTTTATTAATCCTCCCTTTACAAACACACACTTTCCCAAATCTTTATACTGTACTGTAGTTTTTCTGTTTATTTACACAGGACATTTCCTGGCACTACCAAGTAGAAAATTAGATACTGTATTTTATTTTAAATGGCACTGGGTATATATCAATATAATACTGCCAAGAATCAAATGTTTATCTAATTGCTGGACTACAAAGCTATAAACCAAGAATTGCTTTTCAATGGAATGTAACAGACATATTCTGGCTCATTTTAATGCTATCCATCCATCCATCCATCTTCTGTACTCGCTTACCCTACTCAGGGTCACAGGGTTGCACATTAAGTCATGCGAGACCAAAGTAACGAAAGAAATAAAAGTTTTAAAAAACCCTCATGATCAGGGGAGGGTTTTCCGGAACCTTAACACTACTGTATGTCGTTCCTAAGTTCTATGTTAAAAGATAGAACTTAAGAATGACGTATCGACGTATCGTTAAGGAGGCTTGGGGAAATTCACCCCAGCACAGTGGAATCTACTGCACCCTTAGTATTGTAGCAAAACAATACTGTGCCTCAAATGACACTTGTTACTGTAAAGCATGCTTTCACCTTATGATAATTAACTTTACTGAGCATAATTGCACTCAATATTGTCTTATGTGATGCAGTGTATACTGTTGTTCGTGGTCTAGTTTCAAGTAATAAAGATGACTGAAAACCCAGATCTGTGAAACAGTTGCTTTAAGGGTTGTGACTTGTGTATTACGTGTTTCGAATTATTAACATAAATGCGTGGTACAATTTATGATTATTTGTATTGTTATATAATTTATAATACATGGATAATTAGGTGAAGATTACAATGTACATTTCATATTTTTAGGTGCAGAGAGTGCTGTTATTCTAAACGATGGTAAATGGTTTGAAATAAGAGATTATCTATTCTTCATTCACACAGTTACCCTCTGACCATGGACAGATATTCCTGCTCAGTCTGTACTTTCACCTCTTGTTCCATTGATTCGTTCTGCAAATACTACAGAGCAGAATTTAATAATGTCAATGTTCATGGGACTGAACACAAAAACTATTGTGGTATTCTGGAGGAGTTACTAAGGTAACTATGATACGTAACCTTTGCATTTAGCACTTAACAATTCACTCTATTGTTGTTCCGGTGGATTGTGTGGATTATGAATATGCCACATAAACATTTAAAATACAAAAGAAAAGAGAACACATATTTAATTTCCCAGGTTTTGTATTTTTCTAGCTATGTTTTAGAATTTGAGACAAACTGATCAAGTATGTCCATGATTGTACTACATATACAGAAATTATTTGAAATGTTTTAGTCTTTCAAATTAAAAATTCCCATCACTGTAACACTCATTGTTGTGCCTGTGATTACATATACTTTTTATATTATGTTTCTTGAAGGTGGCTTTGGAGGTAAACCAATATGCCTCAAAACCTTGGGGCAATATACAATACGCTTACAAATAAAGTCTTTATAAGGAGCCCTATTATGGGGTAACTTTATTGGGAAAAACAAAGTTGCCCTTTCTTTGCACAATACGCCAGGCATCCAGAGATGTGTGTAACCCTTTACTGGACTAAAAACTGCTCCTCAGTCATTGTCTCCATCCCTGTCCACTACCTGTAGACTGCGGTCCTGACTTACATGTGTACTGACACAGTGCGGTGGTGCAGACCACCTAGAGGCTAACAGCCTCTGTGTTCCTTCACGTCTCTGTCAATGCTGGCTTGCGCTGTACCTGCGCCAAAGAGGTCGCAGCAGCGCCGAAGAGTAAGTGCCTACTGTTCTCCCTGCTCCCCCATGTAATTAAACCAGGGTTTTTTTCTCAGACCTGGTAACTCTAAATACTAGCCTACAGTCCCCAGATGGAATAAAATGAGGCAGGAAGTTCTAAAATTTCTCTTCTTTTGTTAGGTGGTTCACCCTCCACAAATGTCCCTTTTTAAATGACCCAAACGACAGGTCTGATTGGATTGAGAGGCAAGCCAAAAGCTGCTTATTGGTCTCTCAAATTTCCGTTTATTGCAGACAGACAAACCGTGACGAGGCAGTAGTAGGCCTGCCTTAACATTCGGAAATGTACAGTACACAACAAGTGATACATTGCATGAATCAGGAGGTGCGCAGATAGGTATGAAGATACAGTGCGATCACAATATCGTATTACATGGCTCTGATGACTGAGATGCAAAATGAAAAACTTTTTTTTCATTTTAAGAGAGTATTTTTTCTCCAGTTAACTAAATGATACATTTTTTTTTTTTTTTTTTTGCATTTTCGTATTTCATCAGAGGTGTATATATTCATATTTTTAACAAAACTGGGAAAAACAACCGAAATGTATCAGATGCAGCAGTGAATGACTGAAACAAAACAGGCACTGAAAGAAACCAGAGATGACCAGAACTTTGTTCCCCCGCAAAAACTGCTGAGTCAGGTTTTGCAATGAAACAGCAGCACTCCACTTCAGGGGACACACTTATCTGTTGGCAGAGAATTGTCCATATAGGTAAAAGTAAGTTACTTTAATGCAATTTCTGCAGATTTTTGCACTGCATTTGTCCAGAAAGAACCACTTTAACCACCCCTAATGTGTAAATGTGCATTAACCCATTACTAGGTTGTGTAGGCCTACATGTTATGCATTATTCCCACAAAAAAAGTTTAAGATTTACCTGGAATTTCCACTAATTATATATGATTTTAGTCTAAGCCTTTCTGTTCAATGCGCACAAACTTCCAAATTGTATGGCTGATAAAGTAATACAGAAAAACTGACAAGTAAATGTATATACAATTTCCCAATAGACATATTTTTAAGTACTTATCTTGAAAACGGATCCAACGGTCTTCAATGCATTGACTGACAATTCCAGCAGATGGCAGTAATTACTTAATAATAACCCTACAGCGGTTGCTCATTGATTTTGCACATTTTCCACCCGATTTTGTGGTTTTTTAAAGCCTATGGTTATTAAACATAATTTATGTGTATTCTAACTAAACGTCAAATATCAAATTTCGATCATAAATAAGCTGAGTATATTAATGATAATGGAAAAACCCATCAAAACTTATTATTATTAAACGAGAACAACCTTTTCGCGTTTGTAGACAGCTATAGGCCAATTATTATTTTCATCATGACCTTCCCAGAAGAAATAACTGACTGTGAATGTGTGTTAGATCTATATGTTATATGGTCTTATAACGTTAACTATTAACAGGTAAAGCAGATAACATTTGATCACATATGTTATGTGACTATAAATGTCAAGTTGATGGTAAACTCTTGGTTCGGTGGTATTTACAGACCCACCCATGTTTCGACTTTGTTGTGGAACTGGGGGCAGTGGGTTTTTCGGTAAACTCCCAAAGTGAAGGTGAGAATGGGAGTTGAAGGGGTTTTTGTGGCTGGGGTGGAGCGCGTGTGCATTCCTTCAGGATGGCATAACAGTTCCCTCCTGAAGGGTAAAGGGAATTGGAAAATCATTACACATCTTCCAGAGCAGCGTGTGTCTGGCCATCGTTCAAGCGGTTCTTGCCAGCCCTCCCCGGCACCGTTTCAGGGGGTTTTATAATACGCGAGGCTTAAAAACATTACAGTAGAGATCGCATCGGACGAATTGCTAATATCGAGTATCCAGTGGTTTTGGCTGTGCAAAGGGGAGTCAAACCAGGGGAGACATTAAATAATAAATGCCACGCTTTATAGACCGCCTGGCTAACCAAACATTTGGGACAGAAAAAGGTACCTTTAGGTGCATGGGTAATTTCGATGCTCCCTGTCCGGGACAGACGTCCCACACCGGGAGCAATTTAATCGATAAAGTTTTGCTGCTTTTCATGCCAGTGCTGGCATGTTTTCTCTCAAGATTATTACAAGATTATACTGCAAGAACACAACCACGTCAGTTTAAGCATATCAAACATATGCGCTATTTATTTAATGAGATAATGATTGTACTTAGAGGCAATATCCTTTAAATGGGCTATTTGTTTAAGAATGGAATATAAGCAAAACCATGAACAAAGAGTTTTAACTGGAGAACTTAAAAAATATGCATATTTTTTCCAGCACCAAACAGCCATCAGGCTCACGTTTCAAACATCAGAGCCCCCCCATCCCCTTCCTCAACTCTTTGTTGCATTTCTTGGCAGCGGCAAACAAACCCACATTGCTACGCCGGACTTCTGAAAGCGGGCGACTCAATAAAGCCATTGTCTGGCGGGAGAGCCGCAGTCTTTCATAATGCAGGAACGTCGTGCGCGGCCACTGGCCGGCGATCCGCTCGCTCGCCGTAGGCGCTGAGGCTCCGGGTCGCCCCGTTAGTTTGCACGCCGGTCTGCGCACACATTCCGACGGCGTGACACAATACGCTTCACTTTATTTACTTATTAGGGTCCACCAGCCATTGTCCTTCACAAGGGGAGCTGGATCCCTCGTTCTCGGCCATCGGGCTAGCTAGCTTAGCTAGTTAGCGGTGACGGTTATGATTGGTGTTATCCAGAAACGCCATAGCCTACACACGCTTAGACGGGGGATCGCGGCCAGATCTGATCCGTGAGCCGCACATGGCTTTGCATTGACATGCGGTAAGTGTCAGTTTAGGATACCTCCCGTCTCTTTCTAAAGCATGCATAGACACGCGTTATAACACTGTAAAAAAAATCACTTCGATGCTTCCATCGCGTCTTATTAACTTTGTGTTCTCTTTGCAAGACTCTTCAGCTAGTTCACGTTCCTTCGCGTTTTTGCGCATTCAGCTTCCAGCCATTCACAAAAAAGCGCTTCTCCGTCAGCAACCGCGCCAATACTGAAAACGATTTAATATGTTTTTAAATGATCATTTGAAAGCCGAGCTCCTTCATACCCACAAACACGTGTGCATTTTATGTAATATATACCGAATAGGTACAATGATTCGTGTGTCAGACGTTGCCTTTAATAAATGTTGCATGTGCAGGGATTTAATCGGTTTTCATATTTTAACTTGTCTTAAAGACAATGTATTCTTTTAACTTTGTGTAGGCCTAAAAGCATGATTGGTAGTGTTTGAATGTTTTAATTTATTTGGGATTTTGCTTATTAACTTTTAACCTGAGCGTTAAGTTGCATGTTTAAAAAGTCCCTTTGATGTCTATTTTGGCACTGCTCCATCTTAAAACGTATCCATCGTTCATACATCTTCATATATCGCCTATTGATAAATGTTGCCTCCATTTTCCTCTGTTTACACATCTCTTTTTGACGTTTGTTCGCATACATGTATGTACCGAGATATGCTTACGCCGTGATACTGGGCTGAACCCTGCAATATGAATGAATCACTCATTATGTCATTTGGCTCCATGGTAATTTGAACCATATGCCTAGAATATATTGACCATGTAGCCTATATATATTATATGACTGGATTTTGCCTTATGGGGTAATAATTTATTGTTTTTTCCTAATTGCTGGCTGACCTACTTTAAATTTTGCTGGATAATTTCATTGCAGGTATGGTTTTAGGCCATTGTGTGGGACCCTTAATGACTGCAGGATTGGTCTTTTACTGACATTGGGTGGTAATTATAATAACATTCAATCAGGGTATACATTGTAACATTTTCAAAAGCTGTAAAATGACTTTAGAGAAGATTGCAGCAGTTAGACAGTTGAAATTAATTAGTTGCCGTAGCAGTGCACGCTTTGCCATTGCCCATCTAGTTCACTCCGCCCCTCTCCCCGTATTGTTTAATACGCCACAACAAACGGGAATTTCCCAGTCGGTTCCGTTCATGGTGCCAGTAGCTCTCAAAGCCGCCAGCTTTTCCACGCGGAGCCGCCCCCAAACTGCTGGACGCGGAGGCTGTCCTATATCCAACATAACCAAATGCTGGCAAACCGTAGCAATTGTGTGATTATGAAGAAGAGAATACGTTACGTTTTACACACATATTCACGCTTCTTTCCTCGCTCCCTTACCCATTCCCAGTCTAGTATTCATAATGCAAACCGGCGTTCCTGGTGTTACCTCACGCAGTCTGCGCATTACTTCGAGTGGAGCTCAGTCTCTCTCTGGCATCGTTCGCCTCGTCTGCTAACCAGTTCCATATGCTTATTAGGGTTTTTTTTTATATATAGAACAGCTTGTGTGAGGTTCTACTTTTTATATAGAATTAGATATATATTTCTTATTAAAGCATATAACCATAAGCTTGTAAGAAGCATCGCTGTTCTCCAAAACTGCGCCGAATCAAGTCCGTGCTTATAGAATAAACCTTTTTACCATCAGTCACTGTGTGCCAGCTTACTGTGGATATTTCAGCTGCGTCAAAAGAATCTGATGGTGTTTTGACTACTTTATTAATACCGATGCTAGCATTTCGTGGTGGTGGTAGGATTAGTGCCACTCCATTCACTTTAACGCATGTGTTGTGTTTTTATGGGATGATGAAATGCAGGGAATTCAGGGCTACCCTTGTTACCTGACCTACCTTTACTTAACTGGTTGACTATGAGTTGGTCTGGCTTCCTCACTGCTTAAGTTGACTACTTTATATGAGTAATATTTTAGGAGTTTAACTGCAACCACGTCAGTATCTTCCTGTGATGCAATGCAGTCTTTAAGTGAACATCACTGCAGGTGAATCTCTGCAATAAATCCATATAATGGTGGAGGACGAGGGCCTGCCCACGTGACCGTCGATATGTATGGGCCGTAAGTTAAGGACCACCGTTGCTGTAACTTTAGATACGGTGTTCACCTTCAGCTGCCTTTTTTTAAGGTACATTGTGTAAATCTCTTAAGTGTTAACCCCTGAAGCTGTTTGCTAATCAACAGCAGTGTGGTTTGAAATCGCATTTTTTGTAGTTCAGTTGTGTTGTGTCATGTTCTATGATGTGAGCTCAGCTTTTCTGTTAACATGAGAAAAGTGAGGATTTGTCAGCGTTTTGTGTATTGATACGTTCGAATAGATACGTTTATGGGGGGGAGGGGGTCACAGATGTTTTGCTCTATGTAATATGACAACAAAGATATGGAACTGCACACCTCAGGTTGAACGCTGACATCGGGTTTAGATTGTTTCAAACGATTTTTTTATGGTTTTGCAAACAACCTTCTTTCTGTTTCCTAAATATTGTGTAATATGTGTAAGACACACCTTTCAAGGTGTCCAAACAGGAAAAACTTAAAATGGAGCCAGATATGAAAGATGGCACACCCAGGCTGTCTAGCTAGTTAATAAGATTTATGTTGAAAGTTAAAATAGCTTTCACGCGGTATGGTTGCGGCTCCTGTGAATGTGCAGCAAGTGGTATTTTTTTTTATGTTTATGGCTTTCATACGTATTTATCACATTTGAAACGAAACTTGGGTCTTTACAGGCAGATATGCCCTTTCCCCAAAAGCAGATCACTGTTTAAATTCACGGGTGTCGTCTTTGTAAGTCATTCACCTAATGCCCATTTTGGAGTAGGTGCATGGGAAGATTGTATGTCAGTGTTCCTTTGTTGGCGCACAAATTTTGTTATGAATTCTTCTTCAATACAACACGCAGCACTGGTCTCCCAGTATCTGAAAAAAGGAAGAAAAAGGGGGCAGTAAATTGTGCGCGTGCCACAGGCGCAGCGCTGCAGAGAATCCGCGGGCTTGGTGCGCTGGTATTTCTGCTATAAAATAAAAGTGACTCTTTCAGGGTTTGTCTCGCCAGACTTTCAGCAAGGGCCCAGCCCTCAGAGATCATTAATGTTCCTCTCTTTTCCGGCCAGTTTGTTCAGTCCCAAGCTACCGGAGGGGAAGGAAATCGCATGGAAAATAGTCTCATTCAGCTCTCTCACCTGCGGCTCTGCGGAGGTGTCCTCGGCTTCTAGGTAAGGATATTTCCTCTCCGATCCAGCGGCGGTCGGTGGTTTGGGTGGTGGAATGCACACCCCTTTCCTTCGGTGACACGGGCAAGCGTTTCGTAACAAGATACGCTTGCGGACGAGAGGCCGATATGAAGGGAGACCTTTGATCGGGGTGGATGAGTGCAATGAAGAACGGAGACAGTGAGCGGAGGAAAGTTCGGTAAGGAAACGGGAGGCTTAATTAACTATTATAAGCAGCAGAGGGGCGCGTTGTTGCTTTTGTCAGATGGTGTGGGTGATGTTGACCCTGGCGTAAATCAGAATGCTCAGCTGGACCACTAGGTCTGACGGGGGAGAGGGGGTGCAGGAGCATGGGGGTGTATCACGCAATACTGTCGAGCAAGATTCTTGTGTGTAGCGTAGAAAGACTAAGTGACACCAGCTGTGGTTCAGGTCGGAGCTTCGGCTGTGTGTGGTCTGAGGATCGACCAGATGGATCTGAAGTGTCTCTTTGCACGGGGCCTCAAGTTGCGCTACCGTAAGCCGATGCTGTCTGGGACGCTCTCCTGGCTCGCGGCATTAAGATGAATCCTGTGTGTTGTTTAGGGCCGGGTGTGTTAACTGCAGAGGTGAGTTCATCATGGTGTCATTGTTTTCTCGCTGCTGGGCGCGTCCGTGTCAGTTTTGGACAAAACAAAACAGCTGAGCTATGACTGCAAAAAAGCTAAATTGATTATTAATAATATATAGAGAGAACTGTCCCAGAAACTTGTTGAGATCATTAACTGGAAAAAAGTCGGACACATTTTTGTTGCTTGTGTGTCTGTTTCGATCTGGAGAAGGTGATTTACTGTTTTAAAAAAAGGGAGCATGATATTGAAATGTAAAAGTCACATTTTTGCTTTTTATGCAGTAACAGACGATGTCTGCATGGGTGTAGTGATTGAAAAAGCATGAACTTGCCCACCCCCTCACCCAGCCGCCTCCGTTATTGACGTGTTTTGCGTGAGTGTGGGAATTTCATTGCATGGCTCCCTGTCTCACTGAACCAGCCCAGAATCCATTTTCCCCCCATAACCTTCACAGCCTTGCTTGCCTTGCTCCCTGTACAAGCACCCCCCCCCCCCCCCCTTAAAGGGGCCTAGCATTCCTGCTGCCCACACGTTTTCAGAGTCTTTTTTCTGCGCTCCTTGCGACATTCGTGCTTTAGCAAATCCACGCACCCCAGCCGACCCCCCCATGCCAAGGGGACATGGCATGGGGCATCGGCGGTGTGCAGGCCGCTGGCTAAATGCTCCCCTTCTCTTGTTCACACACCCATCGGCACACTGAGCTGGTGCCGTGGTGCCACTGGGCCGGGATAAGGGAGACGTGTGTTTTACAGCGCCGTGCAAAGACACCTCTGTCAGACAGGCCCAGTCACCTCTGCCAGCAGGTCGCCCAGAGTGCGACAGGATGTGGGGGCGGAATGATGCCCCAGGTCAGAATTCGAAGTCTGTACAGTGACTCAGTGCCTGGCTATGCAGGTTCACACCTCCAATGCTGGGGTTTCCAATCCTGTCGCCTTTGCTGTGAAGCTTTCCTCCTGACTTACAGGTTTCTGCTTGCCATCTGAAGATGTAATATGTCTGTGTGGGTCATATCACATTGTGGGGACCAAATGTCCTCACGATGTGATAAAAACCTGTTGCTGGGACCACCTTCTCGGTCCCCACAAGGGGAAATTCATTTTTATTAAAATCTGACTGCAATCAAAAGAACTAAAAATGCCAAAAGTCTTGTATTTAGTTTGGTTGCTTATGGTTACGGTTAGGCCTGGATAGGGATTAAGGTTGTCATTGTTGGGATTAGGGTTTTTCCTATAGACATGAATGGAGCGTCCTCATAAAGATATGAATCCAAATGTGTATGTTTGTGTGTGTCCATGGGAAAATACTACTGAAAATACTGTGTTCCGCATGTGCTGACGTTCCGTTACGGTACAGAGTGTTCTATGTGATTCCCACCTAGATGAGACCCTCTAGCTCTGAGCTGAGCCTACTGTTAGCCGCGGTCAGGGATGCATCCGCGCTTCGCTAACTTGCGTCTCTCGTCTCCCCTGTGTTTCTGCAGTCTACCGGCCCCTGGGCCCCACCGGCTAAACATGTCCGTGGCCCCGAGGAAGACTGAGCCGGGGCTTCCGGCGTCGCAGTGACATGCGAGCGGCACAGCCAGGGAACCTGCTCAGGAAACACACTGCTCCAGCCAGGACTGGTTCCCCACTGCTTGGTTATCTCAGCTGGAGGGACTTCTTAGCTTGTTGACGCCTTTTCCCCAGCTCTCGCCCCTCCCCCCCCGCCACCACACACACACACATACACACTTTTCTCTGGGGGATTCAAGAATTTCAGCCAGGCATCTGAGGTTCACAGGCATTCCTACCGTCGTCGGGCCCAAGTCTGTGGCGTGACGGTGTGCCGCAGGACCTGCATGGACCTCGCTGTCCTGTGCGTTGCCTCTGGCCCCAGTGGAGCGGGTCACACCCGAGGGACATCTGCACCGTCAGTAGGGGGCAGAAGAGAGTTGTGCCCCCTTGGCGGCAGCCCAGAAGGAGAGCCGTCTGACTCGGCCTCCCCTAACTGCCAGAGGCAGTCTACCGTGGAAACAGACCTGGTCCACAGTGCCCACTGGAGGGAGGGGCCGGGGATGCTGGCGTGCAAACATCCAGTGGAAATGTGTGGCGTCTGCCAAGATGTTAACACTCTCGCCACAGAGCCCGCCGATGAGCTTGGGCAGGATGGGCTCAACTGCCACCTTGATGTGGCCCCCCCTTCAGGGCTGATGCCAACAGCAAGTTGCTTGGGGGCTTCCCCGAGTCAGCCAGACCCCTCTTACAGATTGGTACCTCATTGGAGAGATGTTTGGAGAGACCATTTGCCAGAAGGATCTCTGCGAGTCGCTGCAGGGGGGCTGTCCGGCGGCCGGACAGGGAATTCGGCGACGTGCTTGAGAAGGAATGCCGGTCCTGCCAGGCACCGTCCCAAGGATTTCTACTACGGTTCGGAAAGGTCTAGCCAGAAGCCGAAAAGTCCCACAGGGGCGGCGTCGAAGCCGAGTGGCAGCTTCAGAACCGGCGGCGGCCGCGGCGGCGGCAGCCTGCAGGCGGGCGGCTTCCTGCCGCACAAGAAGGACCGCTCCACCATCTTGATCCGCCGCTTCAACAAGCATGACGTGCCGGTGAGGAAGCTGATCTGCACAGGCACTCGCGCCATCGTGCAGAAGCTGCCGTCGGGACACATGGGCGAGAGGCGGCGGACGGCCGAGTCTGGCGGGAGGCCCCCAGGTCCCACCTTGGCAGCCCACGGCACCCCCCAGTGGACCTTCGGGCTCCTCCTCCTGCATGTCGGGGCCGGACCCTTGGAGGTAAGGTCGCTTGACTTTCCCACGGATCCTGGGTTCCCCTGGAAATAGCCTCTACACTCCAGCTCTGCGTGCAGCTTTCCCCAGTGAGATACTGCAGGCTTCCCGAGGCGCTCTGATAGGGTCATGTTTACATCCGCTTGCAATTTTTTTTCATCTCCTTTTCCCCGAAAACATCTCCCACTCTTTGCTATTACAACGATCTTACTACAGTCGCTGATGCTCCTCCACTCCTGATGGGATTACATTCCATTGAACCCATCGTATGCTGATCATTCCGCAAGTCGAATATGATAGACGAGTAAATAACTACTGTCACTAAGTAAATAATTACTGTAACTAAATACGAGTCCAGTAGCTAATTGAAAAGTAAGTAACCGAAAACATGAAAAGATTTTACACGGATTTGACAGAACAAAAAAACACTTTATGGCACCTCACTAGCCTGGGAACAGATAAAAATTCAAAGTTTGACTCTTTTATGTGCATTGCAATCACGTCGTAAAGCGAGCAACATCTGAATATGTTGTTTATTGTTATTTATCATCAGCTGCTGTGGTCTGCTTTATGGTCTGTTTTTTGTGGCTCTTTACATTTTATTCATCTAGCAGATGCTTTTTTTATTTTGTTTGAGAGCAATTGGGATTAAGGGCAGTGTCCCAGCAGCGAAATCACTCTCCCAGCCACAGGTATTGAGCCTAAAACCTTCCGAAAACAGACCCGGGATCCTTATCTATTGAGCCACCCCTCCGTATCTGCACATAAGTGAGAAACTCAGTGTGATTCATGCATAAAACCAACTTGAACTTGGCTGCTTTGCTGAGAGCTGCTCAGATTTGTATATCCGGCCGAGTTACAGTAGTACGCTCTGCTGACCTTCTCATTCTTGGAGCATGGAAAATACTTGGAGTTGTTTGTAAATGGTCTCTGAGGATCATGTATAATGTACTTCAAGTAACAGATAAGAGTACTGCCCTTTCCTCATTACCAAAATAATCTAATTACAATTTTAAAATATGAGCGCTGTACTGTTACTGCCTGGGTAAATACCACCTTCAGCAAGGTTCTATGTTAATAAACCGCATTGCTTTGTTTTTAAGGGCGTTCTTGTTTGTTCGGCTACTAACTTGGTTGCCTGTAGGGGCTGGGGAGTGTGAATCTTGTTCTCCCATTCGGGATGTGTGGAAAGCAGGGGGTTACATTAGTGTGAGAGGCAGGCGCGGGGAACCTCGCTTTCACCAGACCCCTCTGCAGTTCATCCGGGCAGAGGGGTTGAACCGGAACCTTGGTATCGCCACCCTTGGGATAGTATGTTGAATGTGACGTCCTGGTCCTACAGCTGAGTTTGACATTGGGGGGGGGGATACAAAGAGCCATTTGTTTTGCAGAAGGAGCTGTATCACCAGTCATATGTTTAAATTATGGCAAATGTGGTAATTGGCCAATTTAACTGTGGTGGAAACTTCAGTGAGGAACATTGTAAAGTGAATACCTTTTCATATTGTATCCTTTGAGGCCTATCCTGGATAACAATGGACGCTTTGTCTGTCAGTCACTTTACCAGTTAATCTAATAATTTTACTATTATTATTATTATTGACATTGTCAGTTTCTAAAAGCAACCCATTTTACAAAGGAGTGCATCATTTAAATCTATACTTTAGTACATTGCTGCTAGTACTGACTTTAGTGCATATATTGAATTGGATCTTTTACATTTATTTGAGTTGTCATGTGGAGTCTCAAAAGAAAAGTTGATTATCAGTGTATGCTACCAGAGCTTTGTAATTAACTGAATATCCGTCCTTCTTCCGACTGCTTATCCAGTACTTACCCAGTACTAATCCAGTACTTATTCAGTCCTACAGACACCTGCAGTCAATCCCAGGCAGCTTGGGGCATTGTTTCTCAGTCCAGTCCTTGGGGACCCCCAGACAGTCCATGATTTTGCCTCCTCTCTGTTCCTGGTAGAGAGCTGGGAGGGAGCAAAAACATGGACTGGCTGGGAGGGAGCAAAAACATGGACTGGCTGGGGTCCCCGAGGACCGGATTGGGAAACTCAAGGCTGGGGCGCACCCCTGAGGGCATGCCAGCCTAATGTCTGTGGACTGCAGGAGGAAACACACAGTACCATGGCAGATCATGCAACACACACACACAGCAGAAGCAGCATTTGAACCCTTGTGTCGAGTCCCCTGTCCATTGTTTTGAAACCCCTCCCCTTGTACTGTGGTCCTGGGGAGACGCCATTTTGTGCTGCTTTATACCGGTGTAGGGATGGTATGACAAAGCCCACCTGACATGACTTAAAGCCCCAACCTTTAGCTGAATATTGAAGATTTGGATAAACATTAGCAGAGATTAGCATTGTTGCCTCACACCTCTGAGGCTGGGGTTCGAGTCTCTGCCCTGGTTCCATGTGTGAGGATTTTGCATGTTCTCCGCATGTCACTGTGGGGTTTCCTCCAGGTACGCTATTACACCCCCACAGTCCAAGGACATGCTGAGGTGATTGCTACCAAATTGTCCATAGGTGTAAAAGGTGTGTGTGTGTGTGTGTGTGTGTGTGCGTGTGCGCGCCCTGCGATGGGTTGGCGTCCCAAACATTAGCTGTAGTTGTGTGATCAAAAATGTTTATATTTTTCATATTAATTTTTCAACATTTTCAATAAACAAATACCCAGCTGGACTGATATCTGGAATTGCTGTGTTTAATTAGGCTGAAGGAGGCCTGTAATGTGATGTAGTGAGTTCGGATTGCACAGGGTAATGAGGTCCTGGCAGGGTTAATGGTGGCTTCCGTCCCTGACTCGGCCCTGCGTGCTTTCAGCTGGAGTCTGTACGGGTTTTCGACTCCCCATGTGTGGGAGGATATTTGAAGGCTCTTTATTCACTGCTGCTCAGTTGCAGTGTCATGCTCTGTGGTTGACTCACGGCCTTGTACTACGGCTCCCTCTCCCTCGTCATGCTCTGTCACTCTGATGTTCCGGTGACTGTAAACGTATTGGAGCTTTGGCTCACTAGCGCCCCCCTGAGACGCCGCCTATCCTCCCACAATGCACGGCGCCAGCTTTGCCTGTGGACAATGTCACAGCGCTTCACTGTGGCCCCGTGTGCAAGTGAGTGACCGACTGAATCCGCGTCCCTCTCTTTGGGCTCGGCGGCGTGCGGCACTGCGCCCCCCCCTCACTGGCAGGGGCCTCTCCAGGGTCCAGCACCGCGGACAAAAAAAATCACCGCGGTCATTCCAGCCGTGAAACCGACAACACCCGGCGGTGGCTCTGTGGGGGTTGGGGACATCCCCCCATTCCCGTGCGGAAAAAAAGTGCTTAGCAAGGCTCACCTCCTTTGTGACACTGTGTATAGCCAGCGTACGGCTGCCCCAATGAGTAAGCATCGCGAAAATGCGGTAACCATGCCGATGTCATCCCATAACCACAGCTCCCTGGTATTACTGGAGCTGGGCTGCCGCCATAAACCAACCCCCCCCCCCCCACTTTTTATTTAAGAGACTGGTAGTGTCCCTCGCTGGAGTGGCTTTTACTGGCCCAGCATGCTGTGAAAATATGAGCTGTGTCAACCCTACGCTTGTGGGTTTTTTTCCCTTCTAATAATGGACCCATTGAGAAGGTTAATAATTAGGACGCCTGTCAAAACAATCTTTTTTTCTTTTTTTTTTAGTGTTCCTGTATGGTTACCACAGAAACCAGACAGAAGGCCTCTGTTGGACCCTTGGTACTCGCTAAACTGTCACAATTAAAGGTGATCTCTTTTCCCCCTCGACTTTTCGAGCGGAATTCCAAGGTGTCCAGTATACGATGTTTATTTTCCAGGCTAAGGGAGTCGGGATACATAGGGCAAGTGTGGCTTTTTTGGGAGCAAATGAGATCACTCGGTGCTGGGGGGCACCGTTGGTCCAGGAGAAGCAATGGGTACCAAAACTTATAGGAACTCAAGTCGACCAGATCGCGACCTGTGTTAAAACACCCAAAGCACTAATTGTCTTTGATTCTCTTTGCATAAAGTTTTGGTGTTTCTGCCTTGTGCAAAACGTTTACTAAACTCCATTCTTCCATATTAGAACAATGCAGTGTCTTAGCAATGGTCATATAGAAGATTAGAGGTTAATGAAGTTGGCTTGTAGCACAAAGATTGCTGTCTTAAGTTTTTGTTGCACCAGGAAAATATTAGGCTGAATAAATCTAGAGCTGGGCGATATGGCCTAAAAATAAAATCTATTTTTTTTCCACAATCCGATTTTCGATTTTAATAGATTTTCCCCTCCCCTACTCAAAATCAAACTACAGATGACAAATAAATACTTCAAAACAAGTTTTAACTTAATTTTTTTATTTTTCCTTTAGAGTTAAAGTGCAATCTGACAAGCCAAAAGAGATGCTTGTAAATGAGATGGCAGACCACGCCATTGTAAACACTTTTAGAAACTTGTAAAAACTTCTAGCATGTTAATGAATCCCGGCTTTTCCACAGTATGTATGGGCACCATGTCTTTTGCAATATACATCGCGACAACATTGTTATCGCCTTCCACCGTGCCCCATTCTTATCATATGGCACACAGCTCGAAAACGTGTCAGGGACGGTTGCTTGCTTAACTTTGGATGTTGTGCTGGTGCTGCGGCTATTTTCCATTTCGCTGGTAGCTGCACTTCTCCCACTCCGCTGCGTGCCTCTGCTTTAGGTGCTGGAATAATTTTATGCTTCCTTTGGTTGCAACAGTTTTTAAACAGAATTTGCAACGAAGACTTGTTTGGTCTCTGTCTGACGGCGCAAAACCGAATCATTGCCGTGTTGTTTGTGAATCCGCTACAGTGTTTGGGTGCGCCGCGCTAATTTACCCGTGAAGAACGGTGCGTTGCATTAGTTCCGTTTTTGGCGCTCGCGTGTAAAATAAGTCATAAAATCGATTTTCATAAAAACACATCGTCCTGAACTGTAAATTCGAATTAATCGATAAAATTGATTTATCGTCCGGCTTAACA